ATCAGCAGCATCAGCGTCATCATCATCATCATCAGCAGCAGCATCAGCATCATCATCATCATCATCATCATCATCATCATCACCACCATCATCATCATCAGCACCATCATCATCATCATCAACAACATCATCATCATCATCATCATCATCATCGTCATCATCATCATCAGCATCATCATCATCATCACCACCACCACCACCGCCACCATCGTCAGCATCATCATCAGCAGCATCATCATCAACAACATCATCATCATCATCATCATCAGTATCATCATCGTCAGCATCATCATCAGGATCGTCATCGTCATCACCATCATCAGCATCATCGTCATCGTCATCATCAGCATCAGCATCAGCATCAGCATCATCGTTATCATCATCAGCATCATCATCATGTTCCTCCTGATCATCACATCAGCATCAGAATCATTATCGTCATGCCCCTTCCTCCTCATCCTAGTTCCTCCTCCCCTGTCCTCCTCCCCTTTTCTCCTTCTCCTCTCCTCCTGCTCATCCTCCTCATCTCCTCTTGTTCCTCGTCTTCCGACTAGTGTCAAGTATATCAGTGATGATAATAATGACAAAACGAATATTAAAAAATAGTTGCCTTAGTCGTCGTGTTCGTCTTTGTCATCTTGTTAATATAATTGTTAGTCTCATTGTCAGCTTGCTTATTCTTGTTCTTCATATACTTATGAACATGACTAGTTTGATTCGTCTCAGCCTTAGTAGTCGTCTTCTCATTACGTCTGGGTGTTGTTGTTTGTTGCCAACTTATGATTACTATTATTATTATTCCTCCTCCTCCTCCTCCACCTACTCCTCCTCATCCTGCTCCTCCTCCTCCTCCTCCTCCTTCTCCTCCTCCTCCTCCTCCTCCTCCTCCTCCTCCTCCTCCTCTTCCTCCCCCTCCCCCTCCTCCTCCTCCCCCTCCTCCTCTTCCTCCTCCTCCTCCTCCACCTCATCATCCTCCCTCCTCCTCCCCCCTCCCCCGTCCACCACCGACGCGCGGCGCAGATGCCGAGCCCCCCTCTTCGCCCCAGGTCCTTCCGCTTCTTGCGCCTGGCCGCCACGTCGTCGGCGGCCAGCGAGGCGCCTCTCCGCAGTGTTGCGGTGGTGGCGGCGTTAGTGATGTCGTAGTGGTTGTGGTGACGGTGGTTTCCATGACGATAGTGGTGACGATGGCAAGGAGGATGATGATGGTGGTGATGGTAATGCTGATGGTGATGGTGATGGTGATGGTGATGGTGATGGTAATGGTGATGGTGATACTGATGGTGATGGTGACAGTGATAGTGATGGTGATTGTGGTGGTGATGGCGATGGCGATGGTGATGGTGATGGTGATAGTTTGCCGGCCCAACGGGCCAGGGGCGTCCTAATATCTCCGGTAACTGGTTAACAGTATTTCTAGTTCGCGCGCGCGAGGCCGCCCCTGGGGGGTCCTGGACGAAAAGTACCCGCGCAAGGTCCCGGGCAGGTCCCGGGCAGGTTCCAGCAAGGTCCCCGGCAGGTCCCAGCCAGGTCTCGGCCAGGTCCCAGCAGACTCCCAAGAGCGCTCCAGGAGCGCATCAAGTGGCCTCCAAGAGAGCTCAACATGGTCCGAAACGGTTCAAGAGCGATCCAAGACGACAAAGATGGCCTCCAGACAGCCCAGAGCGCCTTCAAGACGCCCTAAGAGGCCTCCAAGAGACCTCCCATGAAGACCCACAGAGGCAGAAATTAGTGATTTTCAGGGTGTGTGACGTTCTCGCCTTTTCGGCTCACCGGCGCTCCAAGACGGCCCAAGAGGCTTCAAAGACCGCCCCAAGACGGCCCACGAAGCTTCAAAAAGGGCCCCAAGACGGCCCCAGATGGCTCCAAGATAGCCCAAGAGGCTTCCAAGACGGCCCAAGAGGGCCCCAAAACAGCCCCACGAGGAGCCCAAGGAAGGGACCAGGAACCGAAAAGTGCAGCCTTCAGCCCCAAGAGCCCACCAGGAGGGCCCAAGAGCCCACCAGGAGGGCCCAAGAGACCCCCAAAAGGCACGCAAAGAAGCCACAAAAGGCCCGCAAGCGGCCCCAAGAGGCCGCAACACTGCCCCCAAGAAGCCTCAAAACTGTCTCCCAGAGGCCCCTGAGAGGCCAACCACGAGGAGCCCAACCAACATCCATGAGGCCTCTGACCCACCACCCATCGCCTCGGAAAAATAGCAGCCATCCAACCGCACCGCATTGACAACAACACTACGACAAACGACAGCGGCGAGGCAATATGGGCCAGCGGAATGAACGAAGCGATTGAATAATGATACATGGTGGTGGCGATGATGATAAGGATGATGATGATGATGCTGATGCTGATGCTGATGCTGATGATGATGATGATGGTGATGATGATGATGATGATGATGATGTTGATGGTGGTGGTGGTGGTGGTGGTGGTGGTGGTGGTGATGATGATGATGATGATGATGATGATGATGACGATGATGATGATGATGATGATGATGATGGATGATGATGATGATGATGATGATGATGATGATGATGATGATGATGATGATGATGATGATGATGATGATGGGGTGGTGGTGGTGGTGGTGGTGGTGGTGGTGGTGGTATGATGATGATGATGATGATGATGATGATGATGATGATGATGATGATGATGATGATGATGATGAGGATGATGATGATGACGACGACGATGATGATGATGATGATGATGATGATTGATGATGATGATGATGATGATGATGATGCTGATGATGATGATGATGGATGGTGATGGTGATGGTGATGGTGATGGTGATGGTGATGGTGATGGTGATGGTGATGGTGATGGTGATGGTGATGGTGATGGTGATGGTGATGGTGATGGTGATGGTGATGGTGATGGTGATGGTGATGGTGATGGTGATGGTGGCTGTGACGACGATGATGGTGGTGACGACGATGGTGATGATTCCGACGATGATGAAGAAGATCCTGGTGATGACGGCGGTGGTGATGACTCTGTTCTTTCGGCCGTTCTGGGGCAGAGCTGGCATCACAGAGATAGCACCGACACGCTCCTATTGAGGCGCAGCTACCGAGGAGCATCCTGAGACCAGACAGCCGCCTGGAGCCGACGCAAACCTGCGAAGACTCTCCGCCAACCTCGGCACCTCGAAGCATCAAGTAGGAAGGCGGCTCCAGTAGATTGGGCTCGGGCTCGCCCAAGGGAGAACACAACAACAAAAACGCATCGGCGCTTGAAGACAATTGGGACCCATAAACTTTCGAAAGCCTGCGCGGATATCCTGGATCCCCGCTGGACTCTCCCCCTTCCCGAACCAGTCCCGCTCTGACGCTCCCCCAACAGAGAAGCGGAAGGAGAAGTTCGACAGGCTCACGAAAGAGACTGCCCGGAGGAACGACGAGTGGAAAAAAGGGGCCTTCCAGAAAGCGAGCGACCGAATAATTTTCGGAGGTCCGTGCCGCATGCTGGGATCCAAGCCTGTCGCGCCGGAAGCGCCGCCGGGGGGGGCCCAGCGCCGATCCGAGAAACCCGCGCGGAGGTCCAAATGAGCACGGTTGTGCTGTGTTTTCCTCATTTTTTCGAGGGGGGGCTGCCGCCCGGTCCGAAAGAGTGTGGCCATGCTGCTTCTCAGCGCTATTGTTCTAAGTGATAGACTCTGTCCCGCTACTGCCATTACTAAAGCTAGTTGTCCGATTCGTATTGTTATGTATCCTCTCAAATTAATATTAGTAGGCGTATTAAGACTGGTACTTGTTTGGATATGATTATGCTTCACACTAGTTACATACATGGTTCAGTTCACTAGTCTGAAATGAAAGTCTTAGTAATACGAGAATGACCCCCCGCTTGTATTATCATTGTTCGTATCATGAGTATTCTTATGTAGGCTCGGATTCGCAGTTGAAGTACTAGTTTAATGTTCTCATTCGCATCATGATGTTTATTTCCACAATTCGTGGCATATCCGTTTCAGCATCGCTGCTACGTATGCGAAACTTATCATAATCCTCCTGGATATGGGATCGTTATTAGTGGAATTAGTATTGGAATTAGTCTTCTCATTCTCAGCAGTATAATCATTCCTTTCTGCTTGTGGATAGTATGCGCAGTAGACCGGCGCCCCCGATAACAGCCCCCTGGGGATAGAAAGTTCGGGGATCTGGCTGGGATAATCAACGAATTCCCAGGCGAAGGTGATGTTATGATGATGGCGATTCTGGGCGCTCGCGTAGACTGATCTCGTAGACCTTGGCACAGAACTGAATCGAGAGATCTCGAGGCTCGCGGCTACAGCTCGCCTGCGCAAGACAGGCCGATGGCACTCCTGACAAAGAAACCTCTCTCGCGAACGACCGCGAGCCACTCGCCCACGCAGGCTCGGCACCCTTTGGAGCCGTCCTTGCATGGGAGGCACTCGGCGCATGCCTGGGCGGCAGCGATTGCCTCCTCGAAGGTGGCGCGCTTCGGCTCGACCGCCGCGGGGCCCTCGAAGGGCTCGGGCTCGGCCTTCGCGCCCGCTCGCGTGCAGTCTCGAGATGACTGACTCGCCCGCGCACTTCATGTCCTTCTTGCACGTCTGGTTGATCTGGAAGGTCTTCAGGCGCCTGGTCACCCCCTTGTGGACCTCGGCGCTGTAGCTCTTGTGGCCGACCTTCTGCAAGTGGAGCTGCTCGTCCTGCTCGAAGGCCGGGTGGTGGCGCAGCCGCGTCGGAATGGTCTCCCTGACCTCGCGGCCGCGCTCGCGCCCCCGCGTGGACCGGCACTCCAGGCGGCGCATGACGCCCTCGAGCGGGCGCTCGGCGGCGACCACGCAGGGGGCGTTGCGGGGCAGCCTGGCGCCTTCGCTCTCGCGCCTGATGCGGTTCGGGCGGACGCGCCCGCAGGCTCGGAGGCCGTTCTTGTCGAGCCTCCCCGTGGCAACCTCCTTCTCAAGAGCCGCTCGAATCCTGCGCCATATCGCGCCCGTCTCGCGGCTCCAGCGTCGCACGTTCTGCGGCCTGGCCTCCCCAGCGCTGGGCAGGAGAGCGAACTTCTCGACGTCGTGCTCGCCCGCGCGCTTGCTCCAGTCGAGGAGGATCTGGAGCTTGCACTGCGCTGTTGGCTCTCGTCGCAGCGCGGGCGCAGCTCGGGGCTCGCGCGCCCCCTCGCACGCCGCCAGCTTGCCCTGGGGTCTGCCACCCTGGCCGAAGCCTCGCTCCACGCCTCGGCCGAGATGGCCCGGGGCGAGGGCCTGGCCCTCGGCGCTCGCAAACTCTCGGCGCGCGGCCGCGGCCGCGACTCGCCCCTGAAAGCGGGGGGGGGGTCGCAGCGGCGCAGTCGACCCGCGTAATCAGGGCGCGCGGCGAGGGCGCAATGGCCCGGGAAGGCCCATGTCGACGCTTTCCGAGCGGGGCCCGTCAGCGAAAGTTGCCGGAGATGGGCCGAAGGGGCAAGGGTGCAAGGGCAACCTCGGGAAGGTTGCTCATCCTCGCTATGCGGGTTAACTGCATCAGTAGCAGTAGCAGGAACACTAGAAGGAAAGGGGGAAGAAGAGGGGCGGGGGGGGGAGAAAGCGGAGGATGGCCCCGGGATAGATTTCAAGAATGCGTTGGACTCGGTGCTTTTGACATGTAAAAACTGATTGTGTGTAGTCGTTTTCAATCTCGCACGGGGCGCGCGCGGCGGGGCCCAGCCGGGATTTTTCCGATGAGCAAGTTCGGGGCCCGGGGTGGGGAGAAGGTAAGGAGAGATCATTGTCTGCTTTCTCAGCCTCGAGCCTCTTGGCCTCAGGTTCCTCGAGCAGCTCGCAGCAGACTCGGCGCTCAGCTCCTCGCAGGGGCCCGGGACATCGGAAGGAGAGCTCGCCTGACCCCGGAGGCTCGACGAGCTCGTCTGCTTTGTCGGCGCGGTGATCGGAGTCTCGCCGCAAAGCTGCGATGGCCCGTAGCACACATCCTCATACCAACGTGGCTACGGAAAGTTGTGGGCTTCTGGCGTTTGTTGGCTCGTCGTTGTTCGCTGCTTTCTGTGACCTTCCTGTTCTCAGCGTTGTGTTGTTAGCTTGTCGTGGGTAGCTTGTTGTGGCTTGCTGCTGCGCTGATTGCCAGTGCTGCTGATGTGCTTGTTGTTGCTTGTGCTGTTGTTGGTGGTGCTGTTGTTTCGCTGGTTGCTTTTGCTAGTGCTGCTGTGCTGTGATTTTGCTGCTGCTTTTGCTGTTCTTGTTTGTGCTGTTGTTGTGCTGGTTGCTGCTGCGCTGTGTTGTTGCTGCGGTTGCTTGCGCGCGTTGCGCAGCTTGCGCGTGACATTGTCATTGCTGTCGTCGGCCATGTTGCTTTGGTCCCCGTTTCATGTTTTTCCTGCGGCGTCCTCGAGGCCGGTGGCCACCTCGCTCAGAGCCCCCAGCACCTCGCCCTCACTCTGCTCGAAGGCACCTCGCTCAGAGCCCCCAGTGGCTCGTGACGCACCTCAAGGATGAGTCAGGACTCGGAGCCGAGGCAGGAGGCGAGGCAGAGCCCGGCACCGAGTGCAAGGCATCGCGCAGCCTCGGCGCCGCCTCGTCGCTGAGGCTCGCAAAGGCGGCCGCGCTTCTTCTCGGGCTCGACCTTGCAAGAGTCCAGCTTGAGCTTCTCGTCCTGGGCTTCTTGTCGTCGACGCTCTTGTCCTCAGGCTCGATCGAGTCCTCCAGATTCTTGTCCGAGAGCTTTTTCTCGAAGTGCGCGTTGTCCTCGAGCACGCTGTTGTCCTGGAGCTTCTTGTCCTCGAGCTTGCAGGAGTCCAGCTCGACCTTCTTGTCCACGAGTTTATTGTCGCCCCCCTCCAGCGCGGTTGGTTGCGTCTCCTCGCGCTGCTCGACGCCGCCCTCAGTCTCCACCTCCTCGAAGTGCTCGGTCTGCGCGCCGGCTGGCGCCCGCTCGTCGCCCTGCGTTTGCTCGACGAAAAACGTCGGCGAGACGACGCTCTCGCAGTCCGACCGCCCGGCGAATGGTCAGGAAGACGCGCGGCGATCGTCGCTGTCCGACTCGGCCACCCTCGTTGCCCGAGCGGAGAAAGGGCTTGGAATGCTTGGTCCGCATTGGGCCACGGTAAGCGTTGCGACCTCAGCGGGCTTGACCCGAACAGCGCTTGCACCACAGAGCTCGAGCCCATTGCACCACATAGCCGGCGCCACCTCGGCGATGCATCGGCGGGCCTCGGCGATGCGTCGGCGACGCGGTGGGCTTGGACTGATCTGTTGTGGCAGCTATTGCCTGTGCTCTTGTTCTGTTGTGTCGCTATTGTGGCATGTTGTTGCACTGGTTGCTGGCGCCGCCGTTGTGCTTGCGGTTGACTGTGTTGTTGGTGGTGCTGTTGTGTTGCTGGTTGCTGTTGATGTCGTGGCTGCTGTTGTTTGTGATGTTGTTGTTGTGTGTGAGTGTGTGTGAGTGTGTGTGCGTGTGTGTGTGCGTGCGTGATTGAATGTGTGTGTGCGTGTGTCTGAGTGTGTGTGTGTGTGTGCGTGCGTGCGTGTGCGTGTGTTGTTTGTGTGTATGTGCGTGCGCGCGTGCGCGCGCGTGCGTGCGTGCGTGCGTGAGCGCGCGCGTGCGCGCGCGTGTTGCTGCGTTTGCGCGCGCGCGTTTGCGCGCGACCGCTAGGCGTCGAGGCTCGGTCCTCGATCCTCGGATCGAGGGCCCAGGGTCCTCGAGCCCAAGCATGACGATCCGCGGATCTAGGGTCCGAGGTGCTCGCAGATGCTGAAGGCCAAGATCTTGGACCCTCGATCCGAGGATGGAGGATCGAGCCTGCCTGATTGCTTGACGCTTGATCGAGGAGGGATCTCTCGGCGAGAGGGGGGGGTAGCACCCCGCAACATGAGACGCCACTCGCGCGTGCTCGAACGCTCGCGTGGAGCTTGAAAGCAGATGGGGCTCGATCGCGTACCTCGAGACGCTCGCGCGGCGCCCTCGCAGCGAAAAGCGCGGGAGCGCTTGGCTCGGGACGCTCGTGCGCCAGGCGCTCGCCGCTCGCCGCCGCTCGGCTCTCAGGCGCCATTCGGCGTCGACTTGTCGGCCTCCGGCTCGGCCTTCGCCTCGGCCTGGCTCTCCTCGGGCTCGCGCTGGCTGCGCATCTCGTCGCGGTCGTGGATCTCGGCGAACTCTGAGAAATTCATCTTGGTGGGCTGGTATAGCCATTGTCTCGAAGCGGAGCTGCCTGTCGGCGCTTGGGCTGTCACCCTTGGAGCGCCTGTCCACTGTCCATATAATTATCCTGCTGGGGCTCGTAGGCCACGTCGGCAGTGCGCTCGAGGCTCCAGCGCCACTCGGCGACTGCTTGCGCGGTGGCTCGCGCGCGGCCCATGCTCTGCACCGCGCCGTCGTCGCGGCACCAGTTGACGAATGGCCCGGCCTTGCGGGGGCCGTCTCAGAAGAACTCCTCGGGCATCTCCTCGACGGGCTCGAAGCTCTCGTCGATCGGCAGCACGAGGTCGCGGAGGTTGAGGAGCTCGGAGGGGACATCGGCGAAGGCCTCGCCGACGCGCTCGGAGTAGGAGCCGAAGCTGAGGCGCCGGACGCTCTCGGCGCCGAGCTCGGTGTCCTCCTCCTCGACAAGCTCGAGCATATTCGACTCGAATCTCGGCAGGAGCCAGAAGAGGTTCTCGGGCGGCTCTCCATGATTCTCGAAGATGTCGCAGAGGCGTGCGTCTTTCTCGCAGTAGGTCTTGTAAAACAACGCCACAGCCAGCTCGACGCGCCTCTTGTCCTTCTCGCTGAAGACGCGCCCGTACTCGATGCTCTCGATAGAACCACCGTCGCAGACCATCTCGAGGACGGCCTGCTGGGCGCTAGCCGACCATAAAGCGCTGTCCGCCTTGGAAAAAAAAGCCGTCATTCTTGCTGCGTCAGCGCCTTGCGCGCTCGATTGGCATTGGCACATCTCGGCAATAGCGATCTCGTCCGCGATGAAGGACAACTTGTCGAAGATGTTCTCGTTCTGCTCGGCCATGCGCTCGAGAGTCTCGTTCGGGCTCGGGCTCGCCTGGGTCGCGACCCCCTGCAGGGCAGCGACCTGCCGGGTCACCGCCTGGGCGCATTCGGCGCCATGGGATATGGCTCAGGCTCGCGACAGACTGAGGGGCAACCATGTGGGGGGGTAGGCATTGGGGAGGAACCATCGACCTGGAATCGCCGATACATCGCCGATGCATCGGCGATGGGCGCCCGATCGTGAATCCGCACGTTCCTGGGCAGGTTCGGGCTATCGAACCACTCTCTGCGATCAATGGGCGATTGGGGACCGATGCATCCCGTTATGCCTCATCCCACCCTATCGTTGCCCCTGGGGGAGGTGCAGCTCGGTGCCTCGAAGAGGCTCGAAAGCTTGGAGTCTCGGACTCGGGGAAGCTCGGGCCTGGGCAGTTGCGGGGGAAGGGGGGGAGGAGGAGGAGGAGGAGGAGGAGGAGGAGGAGGAGGAGGAGGAGGACGAGGAGGAGGAGGAGGAGGAGGAGGGGCCACGAACTTTGTGAGGAATGCGCAAACAAGTTCCTGCTCGAAAACCATGTAACTTCAAATGCTAATCGGTCCCCATGGCCCTGCCTCACGTTCCTGACTCGGGAACGGCTGAGAAAGTGAGAACCCCATGGCCCTGCCGTACGTTCGTGACTTGGGAAAACTGAAATGGTGAGAATCCCATAGCCCTGCCACACGCTCTTGATTGCGAACACTGAAATGGTGAGACCACCATTGCCATGCTCAGCGTCTTTGATGCTGTTGCAAATCAACATGATGTGATAGCAACTTCGACTCGCAACTTCCCCCGGGGATTATCGAGTTCGGCCTCCGCGCCCCTCTCCACCATTAAATCCGATCGACACGAGATGAAGTATAAAAACGGTTAAGGGAGTGATGTTTTATTCTCGGGGGCAGTGTGTTCAGATTATTACTATTATGTTTCTTCCTCTTCTTCGGGCGCGGGGGGGGGGGGGGGGGGCCCCAGCGCCCAGAGGTCCCGACCACTTCCCCAAGGGCAGTGTTCCGTCCCGACTCTGGTCCTGCCGGCCCCGGGGCCTGCAGGCGGCCCTCGAGCACCAAAGATCGATCGGCGGCGAGCCCCGGGGGGGGAAGTGGGAGGAGGAGGGAGAAGGGGGGGAAGTGGGAGGAGGAGCAGGAGCAGGAGCAGGAGGAGGAGGAGGAGGAGGAGGAGGAGGAGGAGGAGGGAGGAGGGGGAGGAGAAGGAGGAGGAGGAGGAGGAGAGGAGGGGAGAGGAGGAGGAGGAGGAGGAGGAGGAGGAGGAGGAGGGAGGAGGAGGAGGGAGAGGAGGAGGAGGAGGAGGAGGGAGGAGGAGGAGGAGGAGGAGGAGAGGGAGGAGGAGGAGGGAGGAGGAGGAGGAGGAGGAGGAGGAGGAGGAGGAGGAGGAGGAGGAGGAGGAGGAGGAGGAGGAGGAGGAGGAGGAGGAGGAGGAGGAGGAGGAGGAGGAGGAGGACGAGAGAGCGAGGATGGAGGCAGGGGGATTGAGGATGGAGGCTGGAGGACGCAGCCATGGCGGCGCGAGGCCTCTGGGAGCCCCAAGAAGAGCGAGGACAGGCCGGGGAGGGCCTCCTCGCCCCTCGCGGCCCCTCGAGGGGCCGCCCTCCTCGAGGTGCCCGCGCGCGGCCTCGGGGGGTGAGCCCTCGCAGGAGGCTCAGAGGTCCAACGGCGGCCTTCTGAGAAGTTTCCGAAGCCTTCCCCGACGACACACACACACACAGCCTCTCAGAGGGCGCGAGGGTTGCTGAGAGGTCCCGCCGAATCCCGAGAAGGCCTTCTAGTTTTCACTGCTCCCCTCGCTCGCCGCCGCATCGAAAAACAGCCGCCGAGCACCGCCGCCGCGCGCCAGCGCCAGGAGGGCAAGGACCGATTTACTCAAGAGGACTGCCGCTCCTACCTCCGTCCTCCTCTTGCTCCTCCTCGCCCTCCTGCTCCTCCACCCTTCTTTCTGCTCCTCCCCTTGATCCATCCTCGTCCTTGTCCTTCTGGCGCTGACGCGGGGCCTCGTTTCCCTTCTTCGACCACCCCGCGCGGGCGGCGGAGGGCGCGGCCGCGGCGCCTGCCGCCAGCGCCTCGGGGGCGGCCGGCGCGTCCTCGACGCGCGCGCGCGCCAACGACGGCATCCGCTGCGGTTGGGCTCAACATGGGGGAAGCGGGTCCTGGACCCTGGGGCCTTCCCCCAGGACGGGATCTTCACCCTGATCCGTTTTCTGACAGTCCCGGGGCTCGTGGAGGGCCCCGAGAGCCCGAAACCAGCGGAAAATCTCAGGACACGTTTCCTTGAGGACCCGCTTCCCCCGCTGGGCAAACCAAAAGGTACTGATACTGCTGCTCCCCGGACCTCTCCTGGGGTGCGTTCTGACCAGCCCGCCGAGGCGAATCCAGCGGTGGCGACGAGGGTCTCCGAGGAAGCCGAAAAAAAATTGATAACGGGCGGTATCGGTACCTTTTCCTCCTCGGAATTCCCCCGAAGGGCCCTCGACGCCGACGGCGGCGGCGCCGCTAGCGCCAGCGTTGTCGCTGCCGACGGCGGCGGCGGCGACCAGCGCCACCAGCGGCAGCGGCGGCGGCGGCGAGCATGGCCGGATCCAGGCCCTCTCCTTCCCGCCGGCGCACAGGTCACCAAGGGCCCCGCGGGCGAGTGCTGGGCACGGCACACCTCAGCGAAGGAGGTGCCCGCGACTGATCGCCACGGAACAGCGAACACCACGAACACAATAGTCAGCATATGATTGTATCGCGCGGGGCCCTCAGTTCATCTAAAAAGAGGCGGCTCAGAGATCGGCGACTACACATGGGCCACGAAAGCTTTGAAATTTGCCATGGGAACATCCTGCGACTGGCACGGCACAGTACAAAGGCAACAGGCATCTGGATCTCACGCATCTGCCCTCAAGAAGGCTGGTGTTGCCAGAAATCGTTCCGAGTGTCACAGCAATGCCGCCGCAGCCAAAGCATACGCCAAGACTTCAAGCGCCTGATAACCACGAAGACTCGCACAGGTTGATCCCCAGCCCTTCAAACATCAGTGCGTCAACTCCTGCGACTGGTTTCGAAAATCTGGTTCCGAGACCAACGGATGTGATTGCACAAGTTGCTCCACTCGGGCAGACGAGTTGGTTCTCCTCCTCCTCCTCCTCCTCCTCCTCCTCCTCCTCCTCCCAAGGGAGGGTGGAGGCCCCGACGCGCCGTCCCCGACACCCTCGAGAAAACCCACACCTGCGACATCGTCGACGAAGATGGCCCTGCAGTAAAAAGTGGCGCCCCCAAGAACGCACCCAGTCGCTCATGCAAAGCAGGACGAGGAAGTACATTCGGCAACAGAGAAGGCAATCGACTTGAACTCGCACCTTGAGATACGACGGGTCCATCATGTGGTACACTTACTTCCATCCCCGCATCCAGCTTTCCGAGACTTGGTCGCAGAATATGAAACTGTGTGTGAAGAAATTGAGCACGCTCAGCAAGTAATACACACTTGGTTTGAACAGAAGCTTGAGTTGATTGGAGAAGACATAGCAGAATGTGATGGGTTCCGAGCCGCCCCCTTGATTCAAGCGACTTGGCGGTGCCAGAAACATACTTTGATGGCCGAGTGGACGAATTACTCCAACCTACAGGGTCAGATGACGTGTCGGCATTGCGCCAGGGTCGACACAGCGTGGCGCAATCCAGAGGGATTAACAGTGATAGCAGTCTCTACGCCACCGAAGTGTTGCGCGCAGCTCTGCTCATGTGCAGAACGTATGATCACACTGTTGCATGCGCAGCTGAACATCACCCCTCATCCCCACCTCCATTACCTCGTTTATATTATTCGTCTTCTCATGTATCAAATTGTCCATCTTCGTGGTCGTCCTCGTTCTCCTCTAGTCCTCCTTGTGCGCATTGGGCGCGTTGTCGCTGGGCTTGCTGGTCATATGCGCACAGTAAGAAATCACGCAGGATCTCGATTGCATCGGCTCTGTTTTTGCACTCGAACAAAGGTCCCTCCTGCTGTCGTAGTGTCGTCCCTCCCCCTCTCCTCTCGCCCTTCCCGTTCCTTAGGGCCGTACGGGCCTCTCCTCTCACCCTCGGGGGCCGTCCCCCGCTGCTGGCTGAGGAAGCGCTCTTGCATGTGCGTCCGCCTCAGTGGATGCCTGTGCATGGCTCTTTGCCACCTGCGGTTGGTATTGCGCCTGCTCGCTCTTGGCTGTTCCGCGTCGCTGCAGCTTGCTGATTGACCGTGCTCGAGCGCATTCGCTGCGTTTCTGTCTTGAGCAATGGATTGGGAGGAAGAGGTGGAGCATAAGTCGGAGAAAGGGGAGTAGGCGGCATTCGTCCATGCGACAGCATTGTACTCGGAGTCCGACAGCGGGTCGCAGCTACTTGAACCCTTGGCGAGGGCAATCGCAGAAGATGTTGTGATTTTGAGGACTGATGCCGAAGATGGCAATCTCGCAAGCTCAGGCCGCGAAGTCTGGACTTCCAGCTACCTTCGGCGATGGTTTTGCGTGTCTGGCAGGTCGTTTCTCTCTGCCAGTAGTTGCGGCGCCCGAGGCGCAGAGGGGGATGTTTGGATGATGGAGGCAGTGGAGGAGGCGGAGCTGCCGCTCACTGTGGGCGCCCGGTTGCTCAACTGCAACGTGTCGTGGACCGAACACGTCGAAATTCTGCGCATGTTCCAGCGCAGCGGCTTCCCGAGACGATCTGCGGCTGACTTGGCCCCGCTGCTCGGCCCGCTCCACCTCCATGGACCATGGACCATGGAGTCGGCATCGCTCAGTAGCATTGCGCGTATGTGAAGCAGATTCTTTCTGCCATCAGTTTTTGCTCCCGAGACGTAGGAGGAGGAGGAGGAGGAGGAGGAGGAGGAGGAGGAGGAGGGAAGAGGACGAGGCAGACGAGGACTTCATTGCGAGCGCTTGGTTGCTTCCTCTGCAACTTGCTGTGGACCGATCGCTGTGATGTTGCGGTGTATGTTCGAACGCTGCGGCGTGTGAGACGAACAGCGGCTGAGTAGCCCCGCTTGTCGGTCCGCGCGGTCCGTAAGGCACGTGGCCACCACTCGTGGTGAGGACAGTCTGCCATTCCCGAGCGCTCGCCTGCAATGCCTGTGGAGGGGGGGTACGAGGATGGATATGAGAGGCGGGGGAGGACATCACCAAACTTCTGACTCTTGTGATGGGCCCGTGAGGCACGTGGCCACCAAGACAGACTATGGAGTCGGCATCTCTCATGTGATTTGCGTGCATGGGAGGCCGTTTCTTGTTGCCACCAATCGTGGCACCCGAGGCGCAGCGGGGGAGACTTGGAGTTGGAGGATGGGAGGGATCCACAGGACAGCGCAGAAGTGCGCATAGCTTCATTTCCCGCATTGCACTTGGAGTGCGACAGCGGGTCGCAGCCATTTTAACCCTCGGTGAAGGCAGGTGTACATAATACGTTAGGAGTTTGAGGATTGACGCTGAAGTGTAAGATTGACGCTGAAGATTTTGGCCGCGAATGATGGACTCCCAGCTACCCTCAGTGAGGGTTAGAACAGATAACTGCCCTCGGTGAATGCCCTGGCCACGTACGGGATCGGATGGGTAGGACGTGAGAGGCTGGAGGAGGACTCGGATGGTGGTGGGTGGGGGAGAAGACGGCATTCATGCGAGCGCTCGGCTGCTTCCTCTGCACGTCGTTGTGGACCGAGCACCTTGATGTTGTGGCGCATGTCCCCGCACAGCGGCTCCAGAGACGAACAGTGGCGAGTGTGGCCCCGCTCCTCGGTCCGCGCCCATACTCTCTGCCGCAGTCGGCACCTCTCAGTTGACTGCGCGCATGGGAGGCCGTTTCTTTCTGCCACCAGTCGTGGTGCCCGAGGCGTAGAGAGGGTGGTTTGGATGAGGGTGGACATGAGAAGGAGGAGGAGATGAGGAGCTAGTGGTGGAATAGAAGGCTTCATTGCGAGCGTTCGGCGCTTCCTCTGCAAACTGCAGTGGGCCGATGCTCCTTGATGCCGCGGTGGATGCTCGAGCGCAGCGGCGCCCGAGACGCGATGGGGTCGGCATCTCTCAGTCGATGTGCGGGTATGGGAAAACGCTTCTTCCTGCCACCAGTCGTGGGGTGGAGGAGGAGAGAGGTGGAGGAGGAGGAGGAGGAGGAGGAGGAGAAGAAGGAGGAGGAAGAGGTTCCTTACATCAGAAAGGAGGAGGAAGAGGATGGGGTCCAAGCACGACTGGAGCTAGGACACAAGAGCATCCTCCAAAAACATGAGACCCTCCGCAGGCCAAGCTGAAGAAAATTCGAGGGTACCCTCCCAAGGAAGCACAACACGAACATCCAACGAACACGAAGATCATGAAGGTACCCTCCCCGAGCCGACCTTGAGCTTATGCATCGGTCCAACCGTGCGCTGGCCAATGAAGCGTCATCGCCCGCAGGTCTCAAGACTGAGATGCCTCGAGGCCGGTGAAATAGAGCGCACGCAGAGGTGGCGGTGAAGCCAATCGTTCTTCATCCTCGTCCAGGGGGGGTCCTGTCGATAGCCTCCTGTCGATAGCCTCCTGTCTCTGCTTGTGGCCTCTCGACAGACCAGCATGAGCCAACGCCGCCTCTGCTCACAGCAGACTGTACACATCCCTGTAGAGGCCAATCAAAGCAAGAAGCACCGTGAGCGCCCCTGCCCAGAAAAACGAATCCGCTGGACATGTGTAAAAAAGAGCCCCAGACTACAGTGAAGTCGGGCCTGTCCTCCTACAGGGGGATTTCCGACGATAAAATGTAATAAAAAGTACCCTAAAAATAGTAAAAAAAAAAAAAAAAAAAAAAAAAAAAAAAAAAAAACATATTAGTCTGGGGACTATTTTGTTTGAGTACTTCCTGACCTTTTTGAGGTATTTTTGAGGTGTAGAAAATCCTCCTGTAGGGGGACACGCCCGACTTACGACTACAGCCGTCGTGCCACCACGAGGAGCGCTGCATCAGAAAGCTGCAGCGACACGGCCTCCCCGCCCCAGAGGCCCCCAAGGAGGTCGAGAAGCACGGAGGAGGGAGGCCTGGACCCTCGCGCGGTCGAGGACGACAGTCGACGACGACGGATCGAGGACCGATCGACCGAGGACGACGAACACGACGACAGTCAACGACGAGGACCGATTGACCGAGGACGACGAACACGACGACAGTCAACGACGAGGACCGATTGACCGAGGAAGACGAACACGACGACAGTCGACGACGAGGACCGATCGACCGAGGAAGACGAACACGACGACGGCGGCGGTCGACAGCGGCAGCGGCAGCGACGACACGACAACGACGGCGGTCGACGGCGATCGACGGCCCCGCCGGCCGAGGGCCGACGATAGAGGGCCCTCGCCGAGGGCCGACCGAGGGCGCCCCCGAGGGCTGCCCTGGAGGCCGACAGCCTGCGGGCCGCGCAAGGGCGAGAGGCCGGGCGGAGCGGCCGGGGGCCGACGAGGCGGGAAAACGCACTGTGACACCACGAAGCAGGAAGAGCGTTTGTTCGCTGGCCTGGCTCGACGAAGGGGCCGCTCAGAGGTGTCATCGGGGAGACGCAGTTCAGGCTCGGGTTCGGGGGGCTCACCCTCATGAACACGACGAGGGCCAGACTGAAATCTGACGCGAACTCTCGCTGCAGACACCCCACGAAAACCGGACCGGAAAAATCCATGACGCGCTCGTCAAAGAGCGCCGGGGAGCCCGAGCTCTGGCGCACTCGAGTCGTCCGTTTCCCCAAAATGTTAGAGCACCCGTGCACACGCCTGAGCCTCGAGCATCAGAGGCTTGGGCCAGCATGGCTATCATAGAGGCCTCCTAGAAGGGGTCCGAGTAGATGGGGTCGGAGGATCTCGCCGCATCGCCGATACATCGGCGAAGCATCGCCGATACATCGGCCATGCATCGGCCATGCACTGGCGACGTCGGCGATACATCCGCGACGTCGGCGTGGAGAAACGGGTCGCATCGCCCATGCATCGGATCGCATCGCCCATGCATCGCCGATACATCAGCGATGCGGTGAGATCCTGCGACCCCATCTGCTCGGACCCCATCTAGGAGGCCTAGATAGCACGGGGGATAGGGGCGAGGGGGGGGAGTCCTCCATGAGCCGGGCCAGCGCCTCCCGCTCCGCCTCCTCGCTCTCCTGCGGGGGGGAGCGAGCTTCGGCGCCATCGCCAGCAGGCGCCCAGCCGCTCAGGTCAGAGGTCGAAGGTTTCTCCGAATAGCTTAGGCGACCCGTCCTCCTCCTCCTCCTCCTCCTCCTCCTCCTCCTCCCCCCCTCCCTCCTCCTCCTCCTCCTCCTCCCTCCTCCTTCTCCTCCTCCTCCTCCTCCTCCCTCCCCCCCCCTCCTCCTCCTCCTCCCTCCTCCTTCCTCCTCCTCCTCCTCCTCCTCCTCCTCCACATCTCCTCCTCCCCCTCCCCCTCCTCCAGCTCCACTTCCTCCTCCTCCTCCTCCTCCTCCTCCTCCTCGCTCCTCCTCTTCCTCCTCCTCGGGTCGCCTACGGCCCCGGGGAGAACCGTGCAGTCAGAGGGCAGCGACGAAGATGATGGTGCTCAGAGAGCTGGTCGCCTGGGCAGAGACGTTGGGGCTCGTCGACGTTGACAAGTGGCTCGGCAGAGCAACTCTGTAGGCCGCTTGGCTCGCAGTTCGTGGAGGGGATGGGGATGGATGAGGGGGGGAGAGGGGGGGATGGGGGGGGGGCAGAGACAGACGGGGGGAGGGGAGGAGGGCGAGGACGAGGAGGGAGCGAGGGCGGAGGGAGGGAGAAACTCCCCCTCGTAGAATCCCCCCACTGGGCCACTGCCGGGGAGGAGCTCCCCCCTGCGCGGTGCCCCCAGCGGGCCATGGCCGGGGGCGAACCACACGGCCACCCACAGCTCCACCACGACGTTTCCGTCTGGGACCCGGCGGGCAGTGGCTCACGGGAGGGTGGACGCCTGGCTCACCGCAAGACCAGCCTGTTCCCAACTGGTGGCAGGTGGGAATGGTCGTAGGTCGGGCATGTCCCCGACAGGCGGATTTTGGACGAAACAATAAAAAATACCCCAAAAAATATTCCCATAATATTCAGAAATGGTAAAGAAGTCGTCCCCAGCCTTTTTTTGCGATTTTTGAATATTCCCCCTGTAGAGGGACAGGCCCGACTTAAGAATGGTTCACAGGAGGGGGGGCGCCCAGTTCGACCCAGGACTCCCCGTTTCCCACCTGGAGCCAGGTGAGGAGTGGCTCATGGGAGGGGGGGCGCCTGGTTCGCCCAAAGATTCCCCGTGTCCCACCTGGGGCAAAGTGGGGAACAGTGCACGGCAATGGTGAAACCAAACGATACCGATACCGCTACTCTTAGATCGGGCATGTCCCCCCACAGAAAAAAAAATGCTCACAAATATTCAAAAACGGCCCAAAAATCGTCTCCATATTATTTTTGACTATGCTTGAATGTTCCTGCTGTAGAGAGACACGCCCGACTTAACGCTACTCCCTGGACCGCTCCAAGGATGCGGTCTTGCCAGGATGTCGAGGCGGTGGCGACGAGGGCTTCACGGGAGGTCCCAAAGAGGGGAACACGGCCGAGGGGGAACGGTATGGGTCACTGCACCGACCTTGCAAACGCGGTGCAGCGAATTTCTGCGTGGATTTCTGCCGATGCAAAACCCTGAAACGGCGAGTGGAAAACGAACTGAATGTCACTTGGATTTGTTTTTGGTCTTCATTCCTGGCCAAACAAAATCCGCGCGAAATTCACCTCGAAATCCGGGACGAAATTCTCCAAGACACCCCGGTCCCATCCGTTTGTTTTCCGAACGAGATCCGCTCTGCAATGTTGGCGCCAAGATATGGGTACCTTTCTTCCTCTGAGTACATGAAGGGTGGCGCCAATTTCACCCAGGACTCGCCGTGTTCACATCTGGAGGCAGGAGAGAAAACGGCCCCTCGGATGGGAGGCACTGGCGGCGCTGAAGAGGGGAGGCGCGGGCCCGACGGGGATGCGATACCCCCTGAAGAAGCTCGCAGCAGCGCCCGGGGACGCCCACGCCCGCGCCCACGCCCACGCCCACACCGACGCCCACGCCCACGCCCACGCCCACGCCCACGCCCACGCCCACGCCCACGCCCACGCCCACGCCCACGCCCACGCCCACGCCCACGCCCAACCGCACGCCCACACCCACGCCCACGCCCACACCCACGCCCACACAGCGCCGTTGACGACGCGAAGGTCGCGCTCTCGGACGCCTCCACCGCTGTTCCGGGGCCGCATTCAAGCTTTCCTGGGCCACTTTGGGGTCTCTCACGCCTCCTGAGCCGCGTTGGGGCGCTTTAGGAGGGTTTCTGCAAGATGATTGGAGTTATCGTGGGCACTTTTGGAGGGTTTCACGTAATTCTGGGCACCCTGCGGGGAATCTCAGGATCCGAATAGACTGGAAACATGTTCCACGCACGACGGAAGGCGCTGACATCAAACTCGATGCGTTGTATAGGACTCTTGTGACCAATGTGGTGCTGTCTTGGGCCGAAATCGGCCGCGCTCCTCATCAAGCCCTCATACCTCCCTCCTGCTGCTCATCCCAATCCTGCTCCTCCTCGTCCTTCTCTCGACGATTCCTTCATCCTCCTCCGTCTTCCCGGACGCGTTGAGCCGTTCAGCTATTCCCAGCTTTTTGCCCAAGGGATTCGCACTTGCCTGTAAAGGAGACCAGTAGGCGGCGACGGCGTTCAAGGGAATCGGCCTTCGGCGTCCCCAGAATTGCTCCGTTGCCCCGTTGCCCAGCATTCTCTGAGGTTGCTCGGGGTTGCTCGGTTGCCCGCGTTGCTCTGGGTTCCCTGGGGTTCCGCGGCACTGCTTGGCAACGCATGGCAGTCCAGAGCAACTCTAAGAAATCCCAAGCAACGTCAAGCGACACCAGGTCATGCCAAGCAGCGCCCAGCAACGCCAAGAATGGAAAAGCAAAGCAAAGCAACACACAGCAACGTCAAGCAATGCCAAGCAGAAGGCAGGGAGGGCCCAGAAAGCAGAGGAGGCCAGGGCCAGGAAGGCTGCCGAGGCTCAGAAAGCTAAGACCGGAAGGGCAGAAGAGGCCAGGAGTACTGGGGAGGACAGACAGGCTGCTGAGGCAAAGAGGGCCGGACAGGTCGCTCAGGCAAAGGCTGTTCCGAAGGCCAAGACAGCAGAGGAGTCCAGCAAGGAAGAGGAGGCCAGGACGGCGAAAGCAGAGGAGGCCAAGAAGGCAGAAAAGGCCAGGAAGGCAGAGGAGACCTTTAAGATCGAGAAGGCCAAGAGGGCAGGCGAGGAGGAGACTGAGAAGGTAGACGAGGAGAAGCAAGAGGAGGTCACGCGGGCAGACAGGAGGAAAAGGAGGACCAAAACGACGAAGAGATCGTCGAAAGTGTCTTCGAACCACTACAACCCCTTCAGGGATGGCTCTCCGGCAAAAAGCTCCTTGACGTCAAGCACAGCTGCGACTTACATTTTGTTCACAGGGGCCAAGCAGGCCGTCCAGGACGCCTAGGTCTTGGCTGAGACGCACTGCGTGCAAGACCAAGTCTGCTGGAAGACAAACGAGGTTGACTGCCATGGGAATGCTGTGAAAAGGACCTCTGTCCGCTCACTCGCCCGACAGATGTACCCACCTCAGGGGCCAACCAGAGGGTGGAGGACATCTGGTTGGGCCTCGCATCCGCGAGGCGCTGAGAGTTGTCATGCATCTTTTTCTTTGTGCTCCCGAAGTTGTCAGGCGGGGGCAACTGCCTTTTGACAAGTCTGCCACGAAGGGCTACAGGAACTGGGTCATCACGCATGGCCGGCCCGTCGAGGGCCCTCACGTACACACGGCATTACCTCATCGTGATGCCCCATCGGGGGCGCGTAGGCCGTCACGACGCTCGCCTGCATAAGCCGTCTCTTCGACGTCCCTGTACCGCCGTTCTCGGCTACTGGCCGACGCCCGCGGGATGGGTGGTATCCCGTCCCGGGCTGGCTACTGTGCCACTTTCTATTCTTCATCCTGGCTGTCGAAGGTGCTCGTGCCATGGGATCGTGCCGACGCCCGCGGGGTGGGTGGGTAATCCCTTCCCCGGTTGGCGCCTTCAGCGTGGAGTCAGAGGCCTTGACACGCACTTCTACTTCGTCGGCACCCCGGGGCGTTGCGTCCTCTATAAATCGCTGGTCGTTGAGTTCTCATCTGTCTCATGGCCGACTCCTTTATGTTCCTTTCCTTTGGCGGAGTTCTTCTCCTGCATGTCCATCGGCGGATTCATGGCCGCCGGGTGTTTGTCTTTGGCCACCAGTGCCTGGCTACACATAACCAACCATGAATTCACACCCATTTTGGCGTGAACTACATCATGATGATGTTCAACTGTCTCGAGACGGACTTCTTTTCGGGCTTCTTCTTCGTACGTATGTGGACCCTAGGCCAGAGTCAGCCTGGTTCATAATTCAGAAAGGGCCGGGGTGGAGGACATCATCGGCCTGCTGGAGAACAACGCTGGGGAGAGGAGGACGACGTGCGCGAAGAAGACTCCAGCACCCGCAGGCGGCGCATAACACCACGCACCAGCAGGGCGCCTTCGCAGGAGGGCTCGAGCGAGCAGGCTGCAGACGTCGCCAGCAGGGAGGGAAAGGAGGGGGAGGAGGAGGAGGCTGCCAGCCAGCAGGCAGAAGAGGAGACTGCGGTGGAGGATGAGGTTGAGGAGGAGGAGGCGAAGAAGGTACAGGAGCTCGAGGAGCACCACTACCTGGACCTCGTGCACCGAGCGGTCGCAACGGACGACGACGTCGCCAAGGCCCAGTGGATATGTACAGCTCATGCCATCCAGAAGACTCGGTCAAAGGTCACAGGAACTGATACGCAAAGCGCACCTGCAAAGACGCGGCCCGCAATTGGCAGAAAGACATCGTGGCACTGCTGGTCCTTTGGAGTCCCGGAACGGTGCGGTGGCAGACCGCGCGGTGACCTCGAAATCCCCCAAGACCTCACCGCAAGGTCCGTCACCGCATGGTCTTGGGACCCCAAAGGCCCCTGTCGCCCGAGACATCCTCGGAGAACGATCTGGGTCCCAAAACCGTGCCGTGACCCCGAACCCCCACCGACTCACCGCACGCTATGGTCACCACCCCGTTTGGGGGCCCCCGAGGTCCCTGGCATGCGGCCCAAGGCAGCCCGGAGTGAGAACACAAGCAGAGGCGGCGACCCGGCGAGAGACGGAGGATGAGAAGGAATCGCAGAGAGGGGATGCTGTGCCATTGCATGCGGGCCGAGGCAGCCCCGAGTAGGAACACAAGCAAAGGCGGCGACCCGGCGAGAGACGGGGGAGGAGGAGGAATCGCACAGAAAGGGCTGCCGGACGGCAGGCGCCAGGCAGGCGCGCGGGGCCTGCCTCGCCAGGCAAGAATGCAGCGAGGCTGGCAGCCACGTGAACCATGCGATGAGCGCCCGCCCCGCTACACTCACTCACTCATGGTCCCGAGGCCATGCACACCTTTCCAGCCCCTCTTCCGCATTGGGGGAGGGGGGCGCATGAGGGAAAAGGTGAGACAAAGGGGAGAGCAGCAGGACGAACACAAATCCTGCCCCGCTAACGTTTCCTCGCGATAATTTCGACCCCCTCCCATCCTGTCGCCTCGTCGTCGGGCACAAGGAGTACTGACAATAAGACGCGCAATAGTCGCTTTGAATCGGGGTGCTATCCGAAATCAACGTTTCAGTCAATAGCTGATCCTCAAGCTGTGTCTGTGACGATACAAGTCGAAGGTTCCGGGCCCGATCGATTCGACGACGGACCCGCAGGCCACCGCTGTGCGTATCATGGCACGGCGGCGAAGCCTCTACCTCACTCCGTCCTCCCCTCGTTCGTTCGCCATGTTCGCGGCCATGGGAATGCCGGCGCGGGCGCGGCCGCGTCGAGTGGGCCCAGAACGTCGCCGCGCGCGCGGGCCCCCCCCCGCGGCAGATGGCACTGGCCTCGCCGACAGGGCGCCTACGGGTAGATTACACCGCCTTGAGGGCGGCTGGTCCCTGAAAGATGTGGAAGGCCAACCCGCCACCAACAGCCAGCGCAAACCTGTAACGCCAAATCGCGGTAATGATGTCAGCATTGAACATGCGTTGGTCTGAAGAAGCACAACGCAACGTAAACATGATTTCCTAACTGTGGAAGGGCGAAGCCGAAGGAGGGCGAGAAGAGATCAGGAGAGTACGAAGGAGGAGCACCCCTGACTCAAAGAAAGACAAGGCGGCCAAGAGCACGAGACGAGGGAAATGAAGGCGCAGCCCCGCGGGCACGCGGGCGCAGAAGGGGCCAGGAGGAGGTTAGGAAGGAGGAGGAGGAGGAGGAGGAGGAGGAGGAGGAGGAGACGACGGAGGAGGAGACGACGACGGAGGAGGAGGAGGAGGAGGCGACGGAGGAGGAGACGACGGAGGAGGAGGAGGCCACGAAGGAGGACGGGCCGCCCCAGCGGCGGGGCGCGAGGGGGCGCGAGGGGGCGCGGCGTGGCGAGCGCCTCCACGGTCGCCGGGGCCTGCGCCGCCCGCCGCCGCAGGTGGCACGCTGCCCCGCCCGCCGCCCTCCTCCGCCCCTCCTCTTCCTCCTCCACCTCCTGCACTCCTCCACCTCCTCGTCTTTTTCCTCCTCATCCTCCTCCTCCTCCTTTTCCTGCTCCTGCTCCTGCTCCTGCTCCTGGTTCCTGTTCTATCCTCCTTCTCCTCCTTCCTCCCTCCCTCTCCTCCTCCTCCTCCTCCTCCTCCTCTCCTCCTCCTCCTCCTCCTCCTCCTCCTCCTCCTCATCCTCCTCCTCTCCTCCTCCTCCTCCTCCTCCTCCTCCTCCTCCTCCTCCTCCTCCTCCTCCTCCTCCTCCTCCTCCTCCTCCTCCTCCTCCTCCTCCCCTCCTCCTCCTCCTCCTCCTCCTCTCCTCCTCCTCCTCCTCCTCCTCCTCCTCCTCCTCCTCCTCCTCCTCTTCCTCTTCCTCCTCCTCCTGTCTTCCTCCTCGTCCTCCTCACCCTCCACCTCAGCGTCTTCCTCCGCCTCGTCCATTTTCTCGACCTCACAACACCAGACGTGTCGTTTGGGCAGGCTGGGCAAGTCGCCCGGGACTCCCTCATCGCTTAAGGCCCGCTCGCTTGAGCATTCCAACATTCGTCTACAAAAACCGACCTCTCAAAACCAACAAGCAAATACACAAATACACAGATCGATGGGCCCGTCTTCAAAATACGGATATCGCCTTAGCACCTTGGTTTTAGAAGCGTCCAACAGTCACAAGGATGGAGGCACGTTAGTTTTCCGAATGGAGCATCCCACCCTTGACATTCCTTCCAATTCTACGACCAGAAGTTCCAAGTCGCGTAACAGTTACACGGATGAAGGGAAGTTCCTACGTACCCGAAACGAAGCTATGGACTCAGACTTCCGCACATCTGACGTCCAAGACCTGGACATGGCCCAACACTTACACGGGTGGCTTAACCGGTTGGCAACCCCGTTTTCTCCCTCTCTGCGTCCTTCCGATCCTCCCCCATATCCCCTCAGCTCTCCGTCTCCTCGTCCCCCTTCTATGGCTCTTCGATTTCTCCATGGGCCCCACCTGGGGGCGGCCGACTTCCCAGAGGGATACGAGTCCGACATGTTTTCGCTCGGCGGCCTGAAACAATTGTCGTGCCAGCGCGTCCTGCTGGATGTGCGGTTTAAACGGTGGTGGTTGCACGGATGAGAGGCTGGTCCTTCACAAAACGAGGCTGTCGCTATTGTTCGGCACGTCGCCTCTCGAGCATTGCTGGCGCTTTCTAGCACAAGCGCATCCTTGCGCGCGCCCCGGCCGGGCCCCCTCCCAAAGCCTTCCCCCGGCGTCGTCGCGGGGGGCGCGCGCCGACGTAAACCTACAAATGCGGAAACGAATGATATTCGTCCTGCAATTCGCCCCTCGAGCGCCCCTGCTGTCTCCGATGCTGTTAAAGCGCTCTGGAAAAAATATGCATGGACAAGACTGCGGCACGAGGCACTAGACACCAGCCTTCTTTCTCGGCGCCGTCGGGCGAACGCGGCTGACAGCGCGCGCGCCCCACGACGCGGCGCGCTCAATCTTCGAGACCTTCCTCAGACACCCACGCGCAGCCCCGCGGGGAAGGGGGGGGGTCGGCGCGAGCTACCTCCTATCCCCCCCTCCCCCTCGCGTTCCTGATGATTTGCCCCCCCCCCTCCTCTTGATACCCTCTACCCCCCCCTCCTTTCCCCAACATATCCCCCCTCCTCCCCCGTCCCCCTTGTCATCCCTGTCCGCCCTTTTGGCTCGCTCCCAAATCCTTCTCTAGGTCCTGCGCGGCGACGGGGCGCCCGGCCGCGATCGCCGTCGCCTTCTGCAGGCCCTGCACGGAGCCCCGCTTCTGCGGGGCCTAGTCACTGAACTTGTTCTGTTCTTCAAACGCCTGCTCTGGCGTCAGGGGGGGCAAGCGGGCAAGCGCGCCTGTCCCGTCGCCGACGACAAAACCACGAGTTGACCTGATGTCGTGGCGCCGCGCCGCCATTCCAGCAGGAACGCCTCCTTGCGGACGCGCTCGTCGAAGGCGCGATCGGCCTCCGTTTCTTGGAGCGCCTGGCCTTCAATCTGAAACTGGGAGTCCCTCTGCGGTTCCTCCTTGCTCTCTCCGCGCCCCCTCTTTGTCCTTCGTCTCGTTTTCCCCTTTGTCCTTCGGCTCGTCTTCCTCTTCGTCCTTCGCCTCGTCCTCCTGCTTCCCGCGGGCGCCCCAGCTGCCGCGGCAAAACGGCGGCGGTCGCTGTAGGAACACCGGCCCCTCTTTAAGTCGCGGCGCGGGCCCCGCCAGCCCCACTTAGCCTAAGAGTGTTTCGTGCCCCCCTTGACATGGATCTCTGTTGTGTTCTCTTTTTCCTCTGTCGCCGTCTCCGTCTCCTTGTCCCAAGAATTGCGTGGGTCTCTCTCGTTCTGCTCGTTCTGTTTCACCTGGCCCTCCTGGCCCCACGTCTCCTTATCCTTATAAGTGAAATGTGTCTCCTTGTGTTTAGTGACCTGCCCCCCCGCGTTTTGGCGGCCGCCCTCCTTCCTGCCCTTCTGGCCCCACGTTTTGGTGTTACTATTCTTGTTACTGATAGCATTCGCATGATGCTTGGTACGTCTAGTATTTTCGTCCCAGTAGTATTGCTAGTTTCGTAATAGTATCATTCGTACTCTTACCTTCACCAGATTAATGATGTGTTTCTTATCATTATGATGTGTATCCGTCTAAGTGGTATTGTCAGTAGTAGTTGTATCATTCGTAATATTACGAGTAGTATTAGTGATCGATGTTTTTAGTATTGTCAGAACTATTATATATCGTCATGTGATTATTCCTATGTTTCCCTTGCTTCTTCTCATGCTTGATTACCATTATTATGGGTATAATTGTCAATTGCTGGTTTTCCCCCCGCCCCCGCCCTTTCCCCTCCGTCGCCGTCGGTTTTCCCTTTCCCTTGCCCTCCTCAAAATCGAGATCGCCGTCGCGGGCGCATTTGGCCTTCTTCCCTAGATCCGTCACCTTGGCGCGGTCGAGCAGCCACCCGCTTTCAGGCGTGAACGACCTTTCCTAGCGACGGTTTCGGCCCATTTCCGCTTTTTGCGCGAGAGTTGCTTTTGAGTGGCCGGCATCGTTGTATGTATTTAAAAACACGCTGGTGGTGCCAGAAATGCTATAGAACTCGCCCCCCTCCCCCCTCTCTCCCACATTCCTCCCCCCCTCCCCCTCCCAGGCCCAGGGACGAGGGGATGGAGACGGGAGGGGGGGAGCAGGGACGACGCCCTCACCTCGAACTTCGATCCTCCGTTCCTCCGTTCCTCCCCTTCCCCCTCCTCGTCCTCCTCCCCCCCCTCTCCCCCTCCCCCCCCCCTCCTCCTCCTCCCCAGGCCTCCTCCTCCTCCTCCTCCTCGCCATGACGGTTTTCAGACGCGGCGGCGTGAGATTAGACGAGGGGTGCGATTCGAGGAAGGATCCACACACACACACACACACACACACACACACACACACACGCACACACGCGCACACACACACACACACCACACACACACACACACCACACAAACACACGCGCACCACACACACACACACAACACTCTCATACGCGTTCGAACGGAAAAAAGAGATAAGAACAAAGCAAAGACGAGCGAAAAGCAAACATAGAGAGAAGCGGCACGAACCCCCCACCCCTCATACACAAAGATAACAAAACATGGCACCCCCACCCCCCACCCCCAACCACAAAAAAACGGCGCCGAGGCGAGAATGCAACTTTGAGAAAAATACGCGCGGCGCCGAGGCGAGGGTGCAAAAAACGCACGAGCAGAAATCAGAGAGAAGACGAAAGCAAAAAAGAGTGAGAAAAAAATGTGCGCGGCGCTGAAAACGACAATGCCACTGTTGAAAACATTTGCGCGGCGCCGAAGCGAGATTGAACAAAAATGCCGCAACCACATACTCCACAATAGCAAGGCCTCGAAGACAGGCCTGCTGCTCCACGACATGGATAATGAATGCACATACATTATCAAATCGTGGAGAAGACCCGCCGCAAGAGCTCCGCAACGCACAGTCAAAGCAGATCTTGACCAGGAAGCCGAACGTCATTTCCTTTGATCTCCAGCTTCTCAACTACCGCACCCCTTACCGTACAGGAGAAGTTTCCACTGGAGCACCCGACCGCATCACAGGGCCAGACCACTATCCATCACAACTATCACCATTACCCTGCCACCTACAATACCACCACATGCGGCGTGCCCCTTTTTCCCCCGGTACCACTACCACTATTGCCCACCCCCCATCATCACATCGTTCTCACCATCATAATCATAATCAAGCCGTTCTCACCGTCAGTATCATCACCACCGCTACCATCACTATCATCATCACGACCACCATAACAATCATACCTATCGACATGCTCGTGCCTCCTCTCCTCCTCATTCCCCCCATCATCGTCATAGCCTCTCTCTCATTTCTCCTACCCGCCGACCCCCCCTGCTCATCCTACCCCTGCTACTTACTCACCCCCCTCCCCCTTCGAACCTTACACCGCCTACCCCTGTTCTTCCATATGTTCCTGTTCCTCCTCCTCCTCCTCGGCCTTCTCCTCCCCTGTTCTCTCTTAAATCACTTGTTCCCTCCTTTCCTGTTCCTCCTTTCCTGTTCCTCCTGCTCCTCCTCGGCCTCCTCCTCCTTTCCTGCTCGGCCTCTCCTTTCCTGTTCCTCCTCCTCCTCGGCCTCCTCCTCCTCACTGTTCCTCCTCCTCCTCCTCCTCCTCGGCCTCCTTCTTCCCTGTTCTCTCTGAGATCACTTCTTCCCGTCGCACCCCCAGACGTGTCGGTAGGGCTGCCCGAGCGTTGTGCCTGAGATCTCCCGACCACTTGTGATCCTGAGCCAGGGGGAGGAGGAGGAGGAGGAGGAGGAGGAGGAGGAGGAGGAGGAGGAGGAGGAGGAAGAGGAGGATGAGGAGGACAAGGACGAGGACGAGGACGAGGAGGAGGAGGAAAAGAAGGAGAATGACGGATGAATTTTTCAAAATGGGCTCTCGCCCTCGCCCTGGCGCGGCGCACACTCGCCCTAGAAGCGTGCGAGATCGGCATGGATGTAGGGCAGCTCCTCCTCCAGAATTTGGTTTTCGCCCGAGCGCCGCAAACATTCGTCCTAAAACCCTGCAGCAGCCTCATGCGTGGAAGGTGACTCCTTTGCGACATGTAGCTCTCGCGTCAGCGCGGCGCACATTCGTTTGAAAATGTTGCAGCAGCTTGGCGGATGGAGGGCGGGTGGCTTTCAAAAAGGCTCTCTTCAAAACCGCGCGCGCTCGCCTTGCAAGTTCGCCTTGCAAGTTCGAAGCAGCTTCACGGATGGAGGGCGGGTTGCTTTCAAAATGCGGCGCTCGCCCCAGCGCCCGCGCACACTCGCCCCAAAAAGCTGCAAGAGCGTAGCGGATGTAGGGCGTGCCCTTTCCAAAATGTATTGTGGCTCTCGTCTTAGCGCAACACACTTTTGTGTCTTGTGTCTTGAAAGTTCGCGATAGCGTCGAGGATGGCTCCGGTTCAAAACGTGGTTGTCGCCCGAGCGCCGCGCACATTCGCCTTTGAAGGTTCCAACAGCTCAGAGGATTATGTATGGTTGACGCCCCGCGACTGGGTGCAACAATCACGTGGCTGGCGATCTGTCAGGGTTGACTCGCAGCATTGAAGTCCCAGGGGCGGGTACGATTGAAGATTCTCGAACGGTTGTCTTCCAACGGGGCATATCGGCAGCGTAGATGAATTACTGTAGGGACTCAGGGAGAAGGAACTTGGGGGGAGGGTGTACTGCAACATCATTAATCGTCTTGGATGTACAATGGTCCTCCTCCTCTTCCTCCACCGACTCCAACGCCCTCTCCTACTTCCCCCGCCCCCCCCCAACCCAATTTACTCCCCACTCCCCTCCTCCTCCTCCCCGTCCTCCTCCTCCTCTTATTTTTCTTCTTATTATTAGTATGATTATTATTACGATTATTCTCATTAGTAATATTCGTCTTATTCTACGTCTTCATCTTATCATTATTAGTATCAATATTATTAGTAGCATTCTTCTGATTATTACCAGTATCAATTAATAGTATGCTTATTCATAATAGTTTACCGATAAGTACTAGCAGTATTAGTTGTGTCATAAGTTGTGTAAATTGTATTATTATCATTAGTCTTATGATCACTACTCTTCGCAGTCATAAAATCATTACCATCCTTCGTACGATTTAGTATTATGATGATGTCTGTACTTCTTTCATAGTATTAGTGGTGGCTTATTGTTCGTATTCGTCTTTGCTTTGTTTTTATTGTTGCTAGTAATCGTATTTTTCTTCGTCTTATTATTATTATGTTGTTTACTTATATTATTACTCCTCCCCCTCCTCCTCCTCCTGCTCTTCCTCCTCCTCTTCCTCCTCTTCTTCCTCCTCCTCCCCCTCCGCCTCCGCCTCCGCCTCCGCCTCCTTTTCCTCCTCCTTCTCCTCCTCCTCCTCCTCCTGCTCCTGCTCCTGCTCCTGCTCCTCCTCCTCCTCCTGCTCCTCCTCCTCCTCCTCCTCCTCGTCCGACTCCGCCTTCTCCTCCTCCTCATCCTCCTCCTCCTCCTCCTCCTCCTCCTCCTCCTCCTCCCAATTGTCGCCGCCGCCGCCACCCCGAAGAGCCCCGCCTTGGTAAGCCGCTGCACAGTGGCTGGCTTGGGGTCCTGAGGGGGGCGGGGGCGGCACGGGGCGCCCGGCCGCATCCGCTCAGGCACTTTTTCCTCTTTCAATTCCTCAGTTGTCTCCTCCTCTTCGCCCTTCTCCGCCGCCGCCTCCTCCTCCCCTACCATGGTACCTGCCGCAACATTGCATGTATGAGCGTCTGTGTGCACAGTTGTGTATTCATTTGTGCTTATATATAATATATATGGATCATCCCCATCACCCGTGTTGAAACTACATGCTTACATACATGCAATACGGGATATTTATATATATACATACATACATACACACACGCATATACATATGCATTAGAAGCACTACCGCGCTAGAGGAAGCTTTCCAGAAAGCTCGAAGACTATAAAGCATAAGCCGCCAAAGTATGTAGATCACGCCCGTGGAAAAGGGGGTTGGGCGCCAACTGCGAAGGCTGTCCAGCGGGTCGTGGACGGGGGCCCGAAGACATCCCGCCAACGTCGACCAGACGAGCCCGAGGGAAAGCCTAGAATCCCCACGCTGCCACAGAGCGGGCCCCAGAAAAAGTGGCAGAGGGCGGGGAGCAAAAAACACGGACTACGGGCAAACAAATCCCGAGGAATTGAGCTGTGCAAACCATGGCGCCGACGTTTAATTTTCAATGGACTATCCCGGACCATCCGTTTTACAAACGCTACCGCGCCAGAGAAAGCTCTCCAGATAGCCCGAAGACTGCAAAACAGAAATCGCCAGAGTATATCCATCAAGACCGTGGAAAGGGGGCCAGAAACCAACCGCCGAGGTTGCCCAGCGGGTCGTGGACGGGGACCCGAAGTCACGCCGCCAACGTCCACCAGACGAGCCCGACGGAAAGCCTCGAGCCCCAACGGAGCCACTGAACGGGCGCACTTCCGCACCGGAATAGCGTTCTGGCCGAGGGCCTATATAATAACGGAATTCGCGCAGTCAACATGGGAGACCACAAGAGAAGCGACCAATCGAGTGAGTGCCCACGGGCACGGCTGAGCACGAAGAGTCTAACACGTTCCAGTCGGGCCCTTGCCGCGAAGCTCGACATGCGGCCCCCCAGTCTTTGAATATCCCCCACGGCCGCAACAACCGATTCCCGGCAGCCACTTTAGCGCGGTCCGAGGGCCCAATGCCAGGGACCCCGTCAAGGTGAGCGGGGTCGCGGAGCGGCAGAGGATCCAGACCGTCGATTTTTTCTAGCCCGACAAAAAGACGCGCAGGGAATACCGAGCCAGAGGGAAACGCATTCACCAGAAGAGATATGTGCAAGCACCGACGCAAGAACACAATCGTCGAGGAGCTCGCCTGAGGGGCCGCGTTCGATGTCCCGAAGGCAGCCTGCCACCCCAAGCTCACTCACAGATCTAGCCAGCCTTAGTCACTACCACAGAAGACCTCAATCACACATTTCCTGCGGAGAGACCTCGCCAGACTCCTGGAGGCCGAAGGATACGCCGCCAAGCGCCTCGAAGGACGGCCGAGAAGTCGGCCTCGGCGCCCAGGCTCCGCTCGCTCGCCTCGGAGGCCAGGCCCTCGCGAAGCTTCTGGGCCCTCCCTGCGCCTGGCGAAACTGAATGCGATCGCTGGGCCAGCGGCCACGTTGCTTGATCGCCTGGAGCTCCCGCGTCTTCATAGGAAAATCCCCGGAGGCCCCCCCGCGGCGCAGCTGGCCCATCTCGAGGTTCGTCGACTGGAGGCCTGCTCCTCGGCAGGCCGCTCGAAAGCGGCGAAGCGGCTGCGCCTGGCTGAAACTGCAAGACCAGACCTCCGAATCTCCGCCACGCAAGCCAGCAGGGAGCGCACCTAGGTTGGCGAAGTCGCGGCTGCCCCAGGCAGCGCGTCGTCGAACTGGCCCACCTTGGTCGGCCCCTCCCTCTCGAAGGGGCGCGGCAGCAGGCTCCGGGAAGACAGGGCCACGCCTGCGTTCGACACCGGCTCGAGGAGGTCGCCTTCCACGATCGCGATGAGCTCGGAAGGCCTCAGGTAGCAGCTGAACATCAGCGAGAGAGACCCTGACGGCGCCAAGCGGCGTCGAACCACGATGCCGGCGTTCATAACCACCGTCGCCACGCAGGACGACGGACTGCCAGGAACCCCTTGCCACCAGCCTGCACCGTCCAGGCGCGAGCCGTGGCGCGACGAAAGAGCCGCCTCCCGTCGCTATCAGACGGCAGCTCGAAGCACCTAGAGTCGGCGTCGCTGGCTGGGATGCAGACAGCCCCGACCGCGACCGCGACCGCAACCGCGACGGTGGCCGCGGCAGCGACGGCGACCGCGGCGGCGGCGACGCGTGACCGCGGCAACACCAGCGGCGGCGGCGGACGGCGGACCAGTGAGCGACGATCAAGAACGGGTCTTACGCGAGATGGCATAACAACCTCGCGCGGTGGCTTACGCGGGCCGCAAGCGTGGCACGCTACGCTGGAGACGAGGGCGCTTACGCACGACCTCACGCGGAAAGCTGACGCGCCAATATCGGCGCCAATTGAACCCGTTTTCTTTGTCGCTCAAGTGGCGGGCGCCGACGGCAAGCGATGAGGGCACGAGGCAAGGTATAAAATACGGCGGCCCCCTTGCGTGGCCACCAGGCTGTAGGACGAACTTGCTGCTCCCTGCACCAGATGCAGCTTCAAGTATCTAATGTAACAGTCCTGTGTTCTGCTTCCTACTTTAAATTGCTGAAGTCAGCGCGAGGGGGTGAAGCCCACGAGGATCTAATTCACCACGCCCAGATCGCGCTGCATGAATTCCCCAGGGGGGGGGGCGTGCGACACGTTGAAAGACATGAGAAATTACAAGGGATTATGGCATCGGGGGCGCGTGCCCGAAGCCATAAACCCTTGCAAATTACGCAACGGTTGCGTCCCCAAGGCAACCAGCCCATATAAATTACACAATGTTCGCGTCCCCGAGGCCAAACTCTTGCAAATGATCACAGATTCGCACTGCCAAGGCCAAGAGTACTCCAAGGCGCCAAAAGATGGTTCCAAGACGGCCCAAGAGGGCCCCAAGAGGCCCCAAGAGCGCTCCAAGAGGCCTCCCGAGAGAGCCCCAAGAGGCCAGCATCGTCGATGTTACAAAAGGTTTTTGAAAGATCTTGGCCTTCTCGCATTTTCCGCTTCCCGACGTTCGGAGACGGCTCAAGAAGCTCCCAAGGCCGCCCCAAAACAGCCCAAGTGGCCTCCAAGAGGGCCCCAAGACAGCCCAAGAGAGCTCCAAGATTGCCTAAGAAGCGCTCGAGACGGCCTAAGAGGGCCCCAAGCTGCCCCAAGAGGGGCTCAAGCAGGAGACCACGAACTGAAAATCTTATATTTGTACCCCGAGAAGCCCCCAAGAGGCCGCCAAGAAGCCGCCAAGAGGCCGCCAAGAGCCCGCCAAGAGGCCCCAAGAGGTCCCAAGAGGAGGCCCAAAAGATACCCCACGAGGCCCCAAGAGGCCCCCAAGAAGCGCAAAAACCACCTCCAAGAGGCCCCCGAGAGGCTCCCCACAACACCCCAACACATATACAAGAGGCCTCAGACCCATAACCCAGGCACGGTGGCGGGATGGGCCGAAGGCCACAAGGATCCGCCGCCCCCTGCTTGCAGGGGTGCACGGCGTGCTGGATGTTTCAGGTTTTGATTTTGGTTCTTTTTCTAAAAGAACTCCCCAGTGGGCTTCGGCCCGTCCCGCCGGCCACCCGGAAAGGATGCCCAGGAGCTCAATTCCCCAATTTCCTGCCCCAGACGGTTCCAAGATGGCCTCCAAGATGCCTCTAAGACGGCCAGGATGGTCTCTAAGACGGCTAAGATGGCTCCAAGATGCCTCCAAGACGGCCCAAGATGCCCTCCAAGACGGCCAAGATGGCCCCAAGATGCCTCCAAGATGGCCCAAGAGGCCTCCAAGACGTTCTCCAGGAGAGCCCGAAGAGGCCAAAATCATTGGTTTTCCTTAGGTTTTTGAAGGTTTTTTGCGTTTTCTTCTTTTCGGCCTTCCGACGGCCCAAGAGGCCCCCAAGATCGCCCAAGAGGCCTCCAAGAAGGCCCTATGACGGCCCAAGGGCCCCCCAAGACGGCCCCAAGAGCGCCCCAAGACGGCCCAAGAGGCCTCCAAGACGCCCAACATGGCCTCCAAGACGGCCCTGAAGCGCCCCAAGAGGGCCCCAAGACGGCCCAGAGAGGCCCCCAAGACGGCTCCAGACGGCGTCAGACGGACCAGGAACGCCCTAAGACGGCCAAAGAGACCCCCAGGAAGCCCCCAAAGGCCCCCAAGAGGCCCAAGGAGGCCCCCAAGATGCCTCCAAGAGGCCTCGAAGAGGCCCCCAAGAAGCCCCCAACAGACCCCAAGGGTGCCCCAAGAGACTCCTAACAACCCTCATCCTCCTACTCTATTTCTTCCTCTTCCTCTTCCTGTTCATAATCATTCTCTCCCATGTGTTCCCCGAAAGCTTTCCAAACCGACTCGGGGAACTCATGGTCCGATAGCTTGGCCAAGCTCTAGTCCACCTTTCGGCCACATCGGCGTTTCCAAAAAGGCAGGGGGCGGCGGTGATTCGCCGTAGGCGTCTTCGATCCGCCGCCCCCTGCTTGCAGGGGTGCACGTGGCCTCCAAGATGGCCCCTAGAGGGCCCCAAGAGGGTCCAAGAGGCCTCCAGCACGCCCAAGATGGCCTCCCAGACGCCCAAGATGGCCTCCAAGACGGCCCTGGAGCATTCCAAGCGGGCCCCAAGTCGGCCCATAGAGGCCCCCCAAACGACTTCCGACGGCTTCAGACGTGCCAGGAACCCACCAAGATGGCCGAAGTTGGCTCGAAGCTGGCCCGAGACGGCCCAAAAAGCCCCAAAGATCGCCCAAAGCTTGCCCAAGAGGCCTCCAAGACGGCCAAGATGACCTTCAAGATGCCCACGTGTTCCCCGAAGGCTTTCCAAACCGATTCGGGGAACACGTGGTCCGATAGCTTGGCAGGTCTGGCCTCAACGTTCGGCCACATAGGCGCTTCCAAAAAGGCAGGGGGCGGCGGTGATTCGCCGTAGGCGTCTTCGATCCGCCGCCCCCTGCTTGCAGGGGTGCACGGCGTGCTGGATGTTTCAGGTTTTGGTTTTGGTTCTTTTTCTAAAAGAACTCCCCAGTGGGCTTCGGCCCGTCCCGCCGGCCACCCGCGCGTTTCCCAAAATCCGTCTGTCAATGCCCAAAAACGGCCGTTTCGCTCGGGACATCCTCAAAAAATCGCGAAGATGGCCCAAGATGGCCTCCAAGTCCGCCCGAGATGGTCCAAGACGGCCTCCAAAACGGCCCAAGAGAGTCCAAGACGGCCCAAGACGGCCCAAGAGGCCCCCCAGAGGCCTCCCAGACGGCCCAAGAGGCCTCCAAGAGGTCCTCCAGGAGAGTCCGAAGAGGCCAAAATCATTGATTTTCCCTTGGTTTTTGAAGGATTTTGGCATTTGCGCCTTTTCGGCTCTCCGACGGCTCAAGACGGCCCAAGAAGCCCCCAAGATCGCCCAAGAGGCCCCCAAGAGAGCCCCATGATGGCCCAAGTGGCCTCCAAGATGGCCCCTAGAGGGCCCCAAGAGGGCCCAAGAGGCCTCCAACACGCCCAAGATGGCCTCCCAGACGCCCAAGATGGCCTCCAAGACGGCCCTGGAGCATTCCAAGCGGGCCCCAAGTCGGCCCATAGAGGCCCCCCAAACGGCTTCCGACGGCTTCAGACGTGCCAGGAACCCACCAAGATGGCCGAAGTTGGCTCGAAGCTGGCCCGAGACGGCCCAAAAAGCCCCAAAGATCGCCCAAAGCTTGCCCAAGAGGCCTCCAAGACGGCCAAGATGACCTTCAAGATGCCCACGTGTTCCCCGAAGGCTTTCCAAACCGATTCGGGGAACACGTGGTCCGATAGCTTGGCAGGTCTGGCCTCAACGTTCGGCCACATAGGCGATTCCAAAAAGGCAGGGGGCGGCGGTGATTCGCCGTAGGCGTCTTCGATCCGCCACCCCCAGTTGATTCATCACAGCGGTGCCTGGCGTGCTGGAGCCTTTCGGTTTGGGTTTTGGCCCCTTTTCCAGGAAACCTCTCCCCTGGGGCCCCAGCCGAGCACGACGGCCACCCGGAAGGGATCGGAAGACCCAGTTGCCAAAGTTTGTCCTGCTCCAGACGGCTCCAAGATGGCCAAGATGGCCTCCAAGACGGCTACGACGGCCCTCAAGTCCACTGAAGATGGTCCAAGATGACCACCAAGACTCCCACATAGAGTCCATGATGCCGCCAAGTTCAGCCAGGAAGCCTCCAAGACGGTCGAAGACGGCCCCAGAGGCCCCCGAGAGGCCTCCAAGATGGCCCAAGAGGCGTCCAAGAGGTTCTTCGGGAGGGCCCGAAGATTCCACAATCATTGATTTTCCTTCGGTTTTGAAGGATTTGGGCAGTTGGTTAGGTTTGGCTTTCCGACGGCCCACGATGGCCCCAGAGGCCCCAAAGATCGCCCCCAGAGCGCCCAAGAAACCTCCAAGATGGCCTCAGGACGGCCCAAGGCGCCCCCAGGACGCCCCGCAGAGGGTACCAAGACGGCCCAAGAGGCCTCTAAGACGTGCCCAAGGAAGCCTTCAAAAAGGCCCTGGAGCACCCCAAGAGGGCCTCAAGTCGGCCCAGAGAGGCCCCCAAGACGGCTTCCGACGGCGTCAGACGGGCCAGGAGCCCGAGACGGCCGAAGATGGCTCTAAGATTGCCAAGACGGCCCAAGAGGCCTCCCAAAGGGCCTCCAGGAAGGCCCGATCGTCCATAGGTTGTTAAAGGATGTTGGCATGTGCTTCTTTCGGCCTACCGACGGCCCGAGACGGCCCAAGAGCCCCCAAAGATCGCCCCAAGATCGCCCAAGAGGCCTCCAGGATGGCCCTAGAACGGCCCAAGAGGCCCCCAGGACGGCCTCAAGAGGGCCCCAAGACTGCCCAAGAGGCCTCCAGGACGCCCAAGATGGCCTCCATGACGGCCCTGGAGCACCTCAAGAGGGCCCAAAGTCGGCCCAGAAAGGCCCCCAAGACGGCTTCCGACGGCGTCAGACGGGCCAGGAACCCACCAAGACGGCCAAAGAGGCCCCCGAGCAGCCCCCAAAGGCCCAAGGAGGCCCCCGAGATGCTCCCAGGAGGCTCCCAAGGTGCCCCCTCCTGCTCCTCCTCATCCTCCACCTCCTCCTCCTCCTCCTCCTCCTCCTCCTCCTCCTCCTCCTCCTCCTCCTCCTCCTCCTCCTCCTCCGCCTGATCTTCCCCGCTATCCTCACCCAAGTGTTCCCCGAGGGGGTTCCACAACGGTTGGGGGAACACATGGTCCGATAGCTTGGCAGAGCTCTTGCCACAACGCTCGGCCACATGGGCGATGCTGGAAGGCAGGGGGCGGCGGTGATTCGCTGTAGGCGTCTTAGATAACGCCACCGTCTCAATAAGCGCTGATGATTTCTATCCGCCCCCGCATGATGTTCCCAGATGCGTCAAGGCAGCGCCGAGACGCACCGACGCGACACTGATATATCCCATCATGATAGACAGGGGGCCGGCTGCAGGGGGCGAAGCCCTTACGGATAAAAGTGTCCGCCGACGAGGACGCCTGCCCCCCTGAGCGGCTGCAAGGTCTATACCACAGCGTCGCACCGTAAGGGTATAATCTTTGCAGCCGCCCCGGTGGCAGGCTTACCCGACGGCAAATAAGATTATGTTATCAGAGTGAGGGGACCGAACGATCATTCTCTGTCCCTGGGCGCGTAGCTGAAGTATAAGGGTCTGCGGTGTGGATTGGTGTGATTGCTGCTGTTGTTGTCGCTGTTGGTGTTGCTGTGGTTGTGGTTTGTATTGAGTTCTCATTGTTTAAATAATCATTGTTGATCCCCCTCCACGGCACATCATGTTTTTTCAATTGAAGTGCCCTTCCCGGGGCTCGCACCCTGTCTTTGCTTTACAAGGGGAAGCAAGGGGTCACCGAATTGGGCCCCTGGCCGCCGAATTACAAAAACAACGGCTCCCGCCGGATACTTCCTCACTATGTATTCCAAGATCGCACTTTCGCGCGGGACATCCTCACAAGTTATACAGGAATCGCGCTCTCGCGTGGGACTTCCTCCCAATGTGTTCAAACGCCGCGCCCTCGACACTCAGGGATCACGTTCTCACTGTGGATGGTCTCACGATTTGCTTGGGAATCGCGCTATCGCTCGAGCTCCCCTCGCGACTCATGCAGTTGTCACCCTTCAGCATCACGCCTGCACGACCTGGCCGCTTGGGCCCGCCTTCCCGACCCGCCCGTTAGGCTCTACCCGCCCGATGGGCCCGTCTGGTTCTGCCACGTGTTTTCTGCTCCTGGCCTCCCCCCTGCGAATCCCGTACTCCATCCTTCTCCCTCCCCCTGTCCATCCTTCCTCTCTTCCAATTTCGCGCGGCACGTAAGGAAGATACACCCGCAGGGGGGTACGATCGAAGACGAAAAGGGCGGGTACCGAGGTTTGGGGAGATACGGGTTGAATGGCACGCGAGCAGGTGAGAGCGAATAGGCTTGAAATGGCTGTTGTTGTTGATGTTGTTGATGTTGGGGTTGTTGATGTTGCTGCTTCTGCTGTTGCTGCTGCTGTTGCTGGTGCTGTTGGTGCCGCTACTGTTGGTGATGGTGATGTTGGTGATGCTGTTGGTGCGGTTGCTGTTGTTGCTGTTTTGGGTGGTGGTGGTGTTGCTGATATTGTATGTTGCCTGCTGTTGTTGATGTTGTTGTGGTTGCTGTTGGTGATGGTGGTGTTGCTGGTCTTATTGTTGGAATTGTTGCGCGTGTGTGGTGTTGGTTCGTGGTTGTTGTTTGTTGTTTGTTGGTTGTCGTGTGTTGTTTGTTGTGTGTTGTCGTCGTCCCACCCGAGACCCACCCCGCGACCCACCCGCGACCGACCCGCGACCCACCTGCAACTCACCCGCGACACACATGCCACCCGGCTCGCGACCCGCGGAGAGTGCCCCGCCGCTGGAAGCCGCTGCCCCGCGCCATCCCCATGGCCGACGCCGACCGCGAGGTCGAGTGGGCGCTCGCCAACCTCCGTCAGTTCGGCGCGCGTAAGGACCGCGTGGCAGAGCGCATCCAGCACCGCCCTGTGAAGGCGCAGCAGACGGAGTGGGGCCTTTTGCATTTTCTTTCGGCAGCGGCGTGGGTCGCCGTCGCCGTCGGGCGCGCTGACATGCGCGACGTGTAATGCGCGCGTTGTTTCGCCATAACTTGCCGCTGGGGGGTCGCACGTTACGTTGCCTATCCAAGCTGATCTCGCCCAGCTCGATAGTGGCCGTCCAATCCAACTGCGACACACCCTCGACACACCCGCGACACACCCCGCCACCCTCATTGCTGCAATGAAAAAGTCGGCGCCTGCGGCGAGCTCGTTGCAAAATCTGTAAAAAGTTGGGCGCCTGCAGCGGGCCTCTTCAGAGCCTCACAGACTGCCGACGTCCCCGCCGATCCCTCACTCTTACCCGCAACTGCGGGGTGCTGCGTACCGCTCTTCGCCCGCTATCTTCGAAGGCGGGAGAGGGGGAAAAGGAGGGAGTCAGGAGAGGAGGAGGAGGAGGAGGAGGAGGAGGAGGAGGAGGAGGACGAGGAGGACGAGGACGAGGAGGACGAGGAGGACGAGGAGGACGAGGAGGACGAGGAGGACGAGGGGGACGAGGGGGACGAGGAGGGCGGGGCAGCGCCAGGCGGCCCTCCTCGATCTCGAAGGCCGTGATCCTGCTTGGGGCGCGGAGCCGCGCGGAGCCGCGCGAGCCGGGCCGGCCCTCGGCGACCGGCCGGGGGCCCGGCGGGTGGAGCCGTCGCCGCCGAGGTCGAGGTCGAAAGGTCGAGGTCGTCGTCGGGGCCGAGGCCTCTCGAGGTCGTCGTCGAGGTCGAGGTCGTCCTCGAGGTGAAGGTCATTGTCGAGGCCGCGGCCGAGGTCGAGGTCGTCGTCGAGGCCTCGACCTCGGCGTCGGCCTCGCGACAGCGACAGCGACAGCCTCGGTCTCGATCTCGAGAGGGGGGAGGGGGGGAGAGGGGGAGGGAGGTGGCCGAGAGATCCGGCGTCTTAGCACAAGCAGGGCCGAAGGTTTCGCCCATTTCGGCCTGCCGGTGCCCACAGCTCCGTGCCTTGGAGGGAGAGGGAAGAGAGGGACAGGCAGAGGCGGCCAGAGAGAGCGCACCCCTTCGGCCAGTCCACCGCCCCAGCGCCTGCAGGCCAACGCGCCGCTCGCCCGGCGTCCTCATCCTCCTCATCCTCCTCCACGGCCCTCTCCACCCCCTCCCGCTCCCCTACACTACCCAGCTCAGAGCAGCAGAAAAAGTCAGCCGAGTCCGACCCCCATCCCTCTCCCCCTCCTGCCCCTCCCCGTCACCCTCGTCCTCCTCCTCCTCCTCCTCCTCCTCCTCCTCCTCCTCCTCCTCCTCCGCCTCCTCCTCCTCCTCCCTTCCTCCTCCTCCTCCCCTGCTCATCCTTCCTCCTCCCCACCATCATCATCATCATCATCATCATCATCATCATCATCATCATCATCATCATCATCATCATCATCATCATCATCATCATCATCATCATCATCATCATCATCATCATCATCATCATCCATCATCATCACCATCATCATCATCATCATCATCATCATCATCCTCATCCTCATCCTCATCCTCATCCTCATCCTCATCATCATCATCATCATATCATCATCATCATCCTCATCATCCTCATCATCATCATCATCATCATCATCATCATCATCATCATCATCATCATCATCATCATCATCCTCAGTATCAGTATCATGATCATCATCACCACAATCACCACCAGCAGCGTTATCATCAGAATCATCATCATCATCAGCATCGTCATCAGCAGCAGCATCATCATAAGCATCAGCATCAGCATCATCCTCAGCATCAGCAGTAGCATCATCATCAGCATCATCATCAGAATCAGCATCAGCATCATCAGCAGCAGCATCAACCTCAGCAGCATCAGCATCAGCAGCATCATCATCAGCAGCAGCATCAGCATCATCAGCAACATCATCATCAGCAGCATCATCATTACCATCAGTATCAGTATCAGTATCAGTATCATCATCATCATCATCATCATCATCATCATCATCATCATCATCATCATCATCATCATCAACAGCATCAGCATCAGCATCAGCATCAGCAGCATAAACATCATGATCAAAATCAGCATCATGATCAGCATCCTCATCAGCATCAGCATAGGCATCCTCATCATCATCAGCAGCATCATCATCGTCATCGACATTATCAGCATCCTCATCATCAGCATCAGCATCATTATCCTCATCATCAGCATCAAGCAGCATCGTCATCAGCGTCATCATCAGCTTCAGCATCTTCACCACCATCAGCAGCATTGTCAACAGCACCAGCATCATCATCACAAGTATCGTCAGCATCACCATCATCAATCACAGCATCAGCATCAGCAGCATCATCAGCATCAGCATCATCATCAGCATCAGCATCGTCAGCATCAGCATCATCATCCTCAACATCAGCATACTCAGCTTCATCAACATCATCAGCATCAGCCTCACTATGATCAACACCAGCATCATCATCACCATCAGCAGCATCGTCGACATAAAATTCATCATAATCAGTACCATCACCATCATCCTCATCAGCACTATCATCACCGCCATCAGCAACAGCATCAATATCAGCAACAGCGGCATCAGCATCATCAGCATCAGCATCATCTGCAGCAGCAGCCGCAACAGCATCAGCATCATCATCAGCAGCAGCAACATCGTCATTAGCGACACTATCATCATCAGCAGCATCGTCATCATCATCAGCAGCATCATCAGCATCATCAGCAGCATCAGCCTCAACATAATCATGGACATCAGAATCATCATCATCATCAGCAGCATCATCATCATCATCCGAATCAGCATCATCATGATCAGAATCAGCATCATCATTCTTTACTATCATCAGCATCATCATCATCATCATCATCATCATCATCATCAGCATCACCTCGCCCCATCACCATCAGACGAATACTCATCCTCATCATCATCGACAGCATCAACATCCTCATCACAATCAGCAGCAGCATCGTCCTGATCGTCACCATTAATGTCATCGCCAACAACAACATAATCAGCATGAGCACCATCATGGGCATCATGATCATCAACATCACCAAAAGCAACATCTTCATCATCAGCATCATCAGCATCATCAGCATCACCACCCTCGTCGTCACCCCCAGCAACGCATCACCACCCCCACCACGATGATCGTCAACAGCGTCACCATCATCGTCGTAATCATCACCATCATCCTCATCCTCAGTATCATTGTCATCGGCAGCAGCAGCAGCATCAGCAGCAACATCAGCAGCAGCATAAATATCGTCGTCAACCATGCTCCTCATCCTCTTCCCCCTCCGCCCCCCTCACCCTCCTCTCCTCCTCCTCCCCACCAGGCCGCCACAAACCCCCTGGCGGCCCCCATTCAAGCAAACCGATGACCTGGACGACCACGACCACGAAGACGGGGACGACAAAGACGACGACGACGACGACGACGACCACGGCGATGGCGACGAGGACGACGAAGGCGACGATGATGACGACGACGACGACGAGGACGAGGACGAAGACGAGGACAAAGACGACGAAGCTGAATACGACGAGGACGACTATGACGAGGACGCGGACGACGACGAGAACGACACCGACGACCACGACGACAACAACGAGGACGACGACGACAAAGACGACGAGGAGGAGGAGGAGGAGGAAGAAGAAGGCGACAACGACGACGACGACGACGACGACGACGAGAACGAGGACGACGGCGAGAACGAGGACGACGGCGAGGACGAAGACGAGGACGGCGACGAAGCGCGCGGCCGCGTGCCCGTCTCCTGACGATGGTCAGGGTCCGCAGCTGCTGCGTCAGCTGCGCGGGCTTGTTGGTGCTGTCCCTGGGCACGGGGAGAAGGCGCGCGCCCGCGGGCGCAGCAAAGGAGCGCCGAGGAGGGAGGAGGAGGAGGAGGACGAGGAGGAGGAGGGAGGAGGGAGGAGGGAGGAGGGAGGAGGGAGGAGGGAGGAGGGAGGAGGAGGAGATCCTGGCGTCGCACTTTTGCCACGGCGGACGGTGTTGCCTCGTCTCGGGCCCCAGGCCGTCGCGGATCGATCTGGCCCGAAAGATGCCCGAAGAGAGATCATGTCCAGGGCTCTGGTCAAGTTTCCTGCAGCGGGAGCTCGAAGACGAGACACCTTCCACAAGAGACCCAGCCCTGAGACCCCAGGATGTCCACCGACTGTTGTTGTGGGAACGTCACGCTCTCCGTAGCAAAAACACCGAAACCCAAGAAACCCAGGGCACCCAGGAGGCAAGCAGGGTGTTTCTTTACGCACCCTGAGATCCTTCAGTTCAGCGATCTGGCCCTTAAGCGTCTCCATGGCGACTGGAGAGGCGAGGATTACTGAACTGATGGATTTCAACGTCCTGGCATACCGAAATCCATCAGTTCAGCAATCCTCGCCTCCCCAGTCGCCCTGGAGACGCTCAGGGGCCAGATCGCTGAGCTGAAGGATCTCAGGGGGCGTGTTCTTGGCATGGGTCTCCGCTGTATGCTGCTGCGTGCTGTTCGTGACACCGGATCCCACGGGGACGTCCAGTGTGTCGAATGTTGTCCAATAGGGGCGTCCCCGGTGGCCCCCCTTCCCCCAGGGCGGGCGTTTCGTCCCGTGTCCTTTTGCTGCTCCCATCGTACTTGCGGACCACATCCAAGAAATGATTTCGAGCACCCAGAAACAGTGTCGAAAGAGTGTCGAAACAGTGTCGAAGCAGTGTCGGACGAGTGTCTCCCAGGGCCCGACACGTGGAAAGCCTCGAGTTTCGGCCGTACTTGCTTGGTGCTAGGAATTCTTCTTTCTGGTGGTCAAGGCTAAACGGGGTTGGAACCTCATAACCCGTGCCGTTTTGCTGCCAGCCCCGGGGCCCAGCCAGGGCCCCAAGAGGCCGAAGATGCTGTAAAACCCATCGCCTTGCTTTTTGTTTTGAGATACTGGAGGTCTGGGCACGGCCGCCCAAGGCGGCGCCAAACTCCGAACACCGAAATCGAACCAACAGTGATGACGAAACCGACGGGCCTAAGGGCAGCCCAAGGCTCCTGCGCTCCCCTCGGCCCTTCGGCCAGAGCCGCTCCGTCTAGCCGTCAAGAACCCAGGCATCTGACAATGCATGTTTTCAAGGCGCGGCCCCAGAGAGATCAGACGAAGCCAGGACGAGGGTAAAATCGGGTGAGGAAAAATAGGGAATCTCTGAGATCCAGCGGCTCTGGAGACTGTAGCGGTCGCCGGCAGCCTTCTCAGAGCGTACCAGAACGCTGAGAGCGTTCCGGAACGCTCTGGAACGGATTGATCCTCGTCCTAGCCCCGTCCAAGGAGATCTAGAGCGCTTCCCCAGGGGTGGACCTTCTCCCCGGACCCACTTCCTGGGGGACCCTAAGGCCCGATGAACGGCCCCCCCAGAGGCCGAGATCAAGAAGAATCGCTGGGGCTGAAGAACCACATTGCCAGAGATCTGGGGCGACGGCGGCGAAGACGCCCAAGACGACCAGCGATGGCGGCGGTGGCAGGCGCGACGGCAGCCGCGGCGGCGACGGCGCAGACCTCCAATGTCTGGACTATGTTCAGCACGCGGTCCCTGGAAACCCCGACCCTTTCCAAGGGCCCGTTTCTCGTCATGCGTCGTTTTTGACGGTGCCCGGCGAGGGCCCCCAGAGGCCAAAAACGGCGACAGACCTCCGCCTTTCGAGTAGGGGATCGACTACAACAGTGATTCACACGAAGAGCTATTCCTGCGCATATGAACCTACAAACAATGACTCGAACTCTCGCACACGATACGTATGTTCCGTAGCTTCGACAACTCAACTCTGGAGGGCGGCCACGACGACGTTGGATATGTAAGTAGGCGGCGAGCCAGGGGGGAAGTGAGAAGGGGCGTGCCTTCTCAGAAGGCTCGGAAGTCCCCCGGACTTCTGAGAAGTTTTCTAAGCCTTCCCCGAAGACAGAGGCGACTTCTCAGAAGGCGCGAGGGCTTCTGAGAAGTCCCGCCGCCTTCTGAGAAGGCCTTCTCCTTCCCAATTCCCCCCCTCGCCGCCGAGTAAGGGCCACGTCGACGGCCACGACGGCGACGGCGGCCAGCCATGGCGGGCGGCGGGGGCAGGCGCCGCGACCCCGGCGGCGGGCCGGCGCGGCCGGCAGGCGGCCTCTCTTTCCGGCTCTTCGCCGGCACCATCAGCTGCCACCCGGCCTCGACCTCTGCGCGCGCGGAGGAGGGTCAGAGGAGCGACGATCAAAAACAGCAACAAAAAAACATGTTCCTCCTCCTCCTCCTCTCCTCCCCTCCCCCCTCCTCCTCCTCCCATTCCCTCCTCCTCCCCTCCCCCCTCCTCCTCCCCCCTCCCTCCTCCTCCTCCTCCCTCCTCCTCCTCCTCCTCCTCCTCCTCCTCCTCCGCCTCTTCAGCCTCTCCTCCCTGTCCTCGTCGTCGCCCCCCTCGTGCCCGACCTCCCTGAGGAGGGCCAGAGGAGCGACGATCCAAAACGAGTCTTGCGCGAGATGGCACAGCGACATTACGCCGCGGCTCACGCGGGCCGCCAGCGCGGCACGCCACATTGGAGACGAGGGCACTGACGCGCGACCTTACGCGGGCAGCTTACGCGGCGCCAACGTCGGTGAAGACGACCCCCCCCCGTCTGCGCCACTCAAAGGAGAAACATTAACCACCGCCACCGAGACCCCATCGGATGGAGACCTACCCCCTGCCGATGGGTTCTCGGTGGCTGTGGTCCATGTTTCTCCCTTCAGCGGGGGGTGACGAGGGGAGCAGGGGGAGGTGGGGAGGGGGGAAAGTGGGACCCTGAAATCCTGGCGTCACACGTTTGTTTAACAACGGGCGGTGTTGCCTTGTTTCGGGCCTCGGGACCCTCACCGATCGATCGGGTTTGAAGAAAATGGGTTCCAAGGCTCACGTCGAGTTCTGTAGCGGTGTGCATGTTGTCGTGACGTTGGATGGTCGAAGTCGGCACTGCAGAAGTCTGCGCGCCGCCTTGCTGAGCAAGGAGGAAAGAGGAGGGAAAGAGGGGAGGAGAGGGGAACATAACAAAATCAGCAACTTTCGCGTGATGGGGGAAGGGAGCGTGTTGAAAGAAAAAGAGGCATCATGAAATATGGCACAAGCCATGATAACCCCCATCCTAATCCCACCAGCCCTCTGGGCGTCGGTGGTCTAGAGAGTTTCCTCTTCCAACCCCCTTCTTCCCCTTCGGGGAGGGGTTTATCACTGTTCCCTATTAATAAACACCCCCTCCCCCAGGCGACTGGGGGCCAACCCAGGTCCATGACGACACCCCCCCACCATCCCTTGCAAAAAACAATACAAAACACACTCTGCCTCCAAATTCGGCACATGTGCAGCCAACCCGATGCGCCCCCCCCCCCCACCATCCCTGTCAAAAAACAATACAGGGGGACTGGAAACCGGGGGGACTGGAAACCGTCTTAGTCGCACCTGAGATCCGACGCCAGGCAAAAACAGAACCGCAAAACAAACCCAACCAAAGCATTGGATTTCATCCTCCTGCAGCACTGTTCGAGCCGGGCCGATCCGCGAAGGCCCCTGGGGCCCGAAACAAGAATCGCCAATTGCGAAAAATGCGACGCCACACTGGGTAGTCGAAGGTAGTCTGGCGACAATCTAGCAGGTCGAATATGGCGCCAAGTTGGCCATCTGGCGAGGGAGACCATATGATCCAAAATGTCGGACATCAACAAATCCTAAGCTGACAATATGCTAAAGGGGCCCTCAATATAAGATGGATCAGTCTAAAAAGCAAACTGGCATATTCCCCGTATCTGGCAAGGGCTTAAACACATATATGTACCCCTGCTTGGGGAGAGACACGAATATCGCGAACAGTCAGATCTGGTAACCTGGCCCTACACCGAACCTGGCCAATCTTGTGAAATGGCCAAACTAGCAATCTGGTGCAACACCTACTGGCTACAATCTGGACTGCACCTAATACTAGCGCGCATTAAGATGTCCAACCTGGAGAACGTTGCAATATGATTCCAGATGCCGTACGAATCAACTTCGATACGACCTGTGCTGTCTGAACCACGCGCTTCCCCACGGTTCCCCACAAGCCAACGCCCTTCCTCACGCTCCTCCACCGGCCCACGCGCCCCCCTACGGCCCCCCACGGGCCCGCGCGCCCCCCCACGGGCCCACGCGCTTCACCACGGTTCCATACGCCCCCCCACGGTCCCCAACGGTTCCCCACAATTCCACGCACCCCCCCCCCCACGGTCCCCCACGGTTCCGCGCGCTTCCCCACGCTTCCCCGCGGTTCCACGCGCCCCTTGCCACAGTTCCCCATGTGTCCGCGCGCTTCTCCACGCCTCCCAACGGGCCCACGCGCTTCTCCACGATTCCCCACAAGACCACGCGCGTCTCCGCGGGGCACCCACGGGTCAACGCGCTTCCCCACGCCCATTTACCCACAAGACCACGCGCTTCCCCACGGCCCCTTACGGGCCCACGCGCTGCCCCACAGTCCCCCGCGAATCCAAGCGCTCCCTCGCGCTTCCCCACGGTTCCTCACGGGCCAACGCGCTCCCTCACGTTCCCCCACGGGTCCACGCGCGCCCCCGCGGTTCCCCACGGTTCCCCGCGGGCCCACGCGCCCCCCCCGCGCATCCCCACGGGCCCGAGCGCATCCCCACGCTTCCTCGCGGGCCCACGCGCATCCCCCCACACATTCCATCCGGTTCTCTGCGGGTTCCCTGCGGGCTCCCCCGCCATCCCCACGGCCCCGCGCGCTCGCCCACGGCTTCTCATGATGCCACGGGCTCCTCCACAATTCCATTCCGTTCCACGCGCTCAACCACGGGCCCCCGCGCCTCCGCGCAGGTCCACGCGCTTCCCCGCGCATCCCCGCGGGCCAGCGCGCTCCTCCACCATTCCTGACGGGGGCCACTCGCTTCTCCGCGGGATTCACACGGGACCACGCGCTTCCCCACGCTCCCCCCCGCGGTTCCCCAAAGGCCCACGCGCCCCGTCGCGGCCCCCCGCGGGCCCTCGCGCTTCTCCACAACCCCCCATATGCCCGCGCGCTTCTCCACGCTCCCCCGCGGCCCCCCACGGACCCACGCGCTGCTCCACGGCGGGCCCACGCGCGCCCCCACGCCCCCACGTCTTCTCCATGGGCCCACGCGCTTCGCCACGCTCCACCGCGATGTCCCACGGCGCCGCGCGCTTCACCGCGCTTCCACGCGGGCCGCCTACGCCTCGCCGTGACCGACCCCACGACGGTTCCAAAACCTGCCGACGGCGCGCCGTTGCCCAACCAACGACATCGCACCGGCTTCCCAAAGGCCGACCCATAGCCCGTCCACGGCCAAGCTTCAGCTCACCCCCGGCCTGCTCAAAACGTACCCCTTCCAGGCGGCCGCTGGGCTGTCTGCGGCAATCCCATGGCCGAAAGCTGCTTCCAGCGGCCTCAGGGCCCAGCGGGATTCCGCCAGGCCTGTCGCCAGGAGACGCATTGGAGGCTCGTCTAAGATACCCGCAGCCAGAGACCCAACTCTGCAAACGAAGAAACTCCGGGCGCCCTGACCCGCGCGCTTCTCGACCGCTGGCGCGAATCAGACTGGCGCCAAAAAGCCAAAGGCGATCGAATCTGCGAGCTCTGGGCCTTGCGAGAACAGAGTGGTCGGAATCCCCCCCGTGGAAAAATCACAGCCAAGTCGACTCCGGCTCAGGCCTGGAGAGGGAGAAGACGCCCAAATTGCCCATCCCACCAGCCCTTTGGGCGTGAGTGGTTTAGAGAGCTCTCTCTCTGTTCTCAACCCCCCTTCTTCCCCTTCGGGGAGGGGTTTACCCCTCCCCCTACCCCCTACCCCTGGGCCTGGAGAGGGCGCCCCGCGGGTCGTTGGAGGGGTCTTGTTCGACTCCTGGGAGGGCTAAAAAACGACACCCCTCACGAGGATTCTGGCCCCGACGGGGGGAGGCAGAAAAGTGCTCCCCTCTTCTTTGAAGCCAAAATCATTGATTTTACTACGGTTTTGGCCCCATTTTGGCCTTCTGAGGGGGCAGCGCTAATTAAAGCTCCCCTCTTCTTTCAAGCCAAAATCATTGATTTTACTAAGGTTTTGGCCCCATTTGGCCTTCTGAGGGGGCAGCGCTAATTAAAGCTCCCCTCTTCTTTGATCGATTTCCTCCAAGATGGCCCCAAGAAGCGCCCAGGAGGCACCAAGAGGCCCCAAGATGGCCCCAAGAGGCCCCCAGGAGGCCCCCAAGAGGATCCCAAACGGCCCAAAGAGGCCCCCCCGAGGCACCCAAGACGCCGAAAAGCCCATCAGGACGACCCTCTACTCGCCTGGGCGTCGTTTCTGGACGGGCAGGAGGAGGGGCCCGAACGACTCACACCAGGACGAGGGGCCCGAACAACTCACACCACGAGAAGCCCGAACGACTCACACCAGGACGAAGAGCCCGAACGACTCACACCACGAAGAGCCCGAACGACTCACACCAGGAAGAAGGGCCCGAACGACTCACACCAGGACGAGAAGCCCAAACGACTCAAACCACGAGGAGCGCTTTCTCTCCCTCCTCCTCCGCCTCGTCCTTCTCCCGCTCCCACCACAAGGAGGATGTACAAGGAGGCGGGAGGAAGGAGGAACAGGGGAGATATGCGGGGGCAGGCGGAAACACGCCTGAAAAACACGACTGTCGGCATGCTTCGCTAGAGTTGCTGTTTTGAGATGGGCTGGTGGGGATACGCGAAGCGTGAAGAATTCAGTTTCCCTGACTATCGGGCACGCGCCCCGAATGCGCTAGCGATCCCCCGCCACGCTGAGGTGCCCCTGCAGACGGGCGCGCGGCACTGGGGGAACCGCCAGAGAGGCGGGCGAAGCAACCCAAGACACCTTGAATGCGTTCCAGTTTCGCGAGCTCGCGGGCGCGCGCTCTGGACGCGCCGGCAGCCCGATATCAGGCCGACGACCCCCGCAGATGGACGCGCGCGGCTCGATGGACAGCCAGAATGGCGCGCGGCGAAGCCCGCGGGGCATTCTAACTTCGCGCAGGTTCCCTCACCTCTCGGGCGGGCGCCTCGAATTCGCCAGCGCCCCCGCGGCGGGCGGAAAACGCCTCGGCACCTGGCGTGCCCATCAGCCCCTCGGGCTCGCAGGAGCGCGCCCTGAATGCGCCGGGGCCCCCGCGCCAAACAGACGGGCCCCCCCGAGCGCAC